AATCTCGAAGGCAGCTTTTAGTATTGCATTATTCCTTTCGATCGAGAAGACGACACACGCGACGAAGAGGGTACAGCCGGAATATCTTCTATAATTTTATATTGAGAGAGAGAAGGGGAATTGTGTATATTACGTTCTCCTTAATTCTGCGTATCGATTTTTCCTTATTGATAATCAAGGTCGACACGACGAGCGTTGCATTATATTCCAACCGTGAAATGAGAGTGAAAATTTCACGTTATCAATTCGACGTGAATTGATAAATTGATTCGGTAATTTTTTTCGAACAGATTATACGAAAAACTGTATACAAGGGGAAAAAAATAGTTACATAAGTTTAGGATCAAATTTTCTCCTGCGAAAATTTCATGTTCATATATAAAAAAAATGTGCTACATATCTCGTAACAATTTACGTAAGAAAATTTCATTTAGATTCTTTCCATTTTTTCTGGATTCTATTGAACCAAGTTGCGTAACTTGCAAATGTATACAGCAAAGATGTAAAGTTGTTTGAAATTTTCAAAAAGAGAATCGAGGAAAGTTCCCACTCACTCTTGGTCATCATGTTTAGTGGCATAACGAAGACAACGTATTTAAAATGCAAATGAAAAATGCTCTTGGCTAATTTTAAAATCTTAACGAAGCGAATTAATTGTCATCGGGCTAACATAAACTGGCATAATTAAGAAGATTACAAGGATCGTTTTCAATCGTGCCTTTGAAACTGGGAGTTTTTGCAGATTTTTCTGTCATTCGCGAGAATAAAACGCGCGCAATTATTATTATTATTATTATTCCTATATATCGATCGGTCATTTCATGTGTAACAAATCTACGATAACAATTTCTTAACAATGTTGGATGTAAGCAAACGTTGAATAACAACACGCGACGATATCGAGTTAATTATTACTGAAAAATACGAGAAAAAGAGGAAAACGAGCTGGTAGATATGTTTGCAAAATTTTAAATTTTACATACAAATGCATATAGCGTATGTCAGACTGGTTTGTAATTTCCACGAAACGACTGACACATCAATTTTACGCGCTTCTTCGACGAGTTGTGTGCATCAACGAGAAATGTCAAAAAGAGAGACACTCGGTTTCGACATTATAATAGCGCGGGCGAATTTAATACACGCTCGAATAATGATTTTTCTATCCCCCGACGCTATCGGAATGCGTTCCCGATATCACTCTCAGATATCTTATATCTGCGACCTTGATGACTCGAGAGTCGAGTGTGAAAATCATTCCGATCCAGATCAGTAGCGAGTAAAAAGTCGCGCGCGAGAGAGACTCCCTCCTTGTTGTACGACAAAAAGAAGAGACCGGAAAAATGTTCTCCGAATACGCGCCTTTCGTGACGAAATATTTTTATCACCTGTTAGTCGGCGTCATTTCTCTCATTCTGTTTAGCAAAATTTTCGGGAGACCACAGAAGAGGCCCCTCGCTCCAGCATCCGACGAATCTACGGATCCGAGTGAAAGTAATCTGTCACTGTGTATATATAACTGTTGTCGAGCGGAACAGAGTCGTATTTGTCTCATTTTAGAAAATGAAAGTGGAAGATAAAAGTGCTTCGCTCGATGCCTCGTGCTTAAAATTCTAAAAACAATTTTTTACTATACTAAGCAATCAAGAAAATAATAGAAAGTAAGGATAATGAAATTAATAATAAAAAAATTGATGAGTGTCCTTACTTAATACAAGCGTGAATGCCATGGAATTCCAGCGAGTTAGTCAACAGATAAGATTGTTCATTTTACGATTAAAATCTCTCAATTTCGTCGGTCGTGGTTAAATAATTCTTATTTCTTTTTCACGATTTTCTAAATGAAAAAATCTAGAATATTTTATATACCCTAAAAAATAAAAACAGTATTAAAAATATAATAAAACAGTATACAATACTTTTTTTTACTAACTTATATATCGCGAATATTATATTATTGATATTAATTATAACTTATAATATTAATTATAAATATTACTAATTATAATTAATATTAATAATATTATATAAAATACAAATTATATTATAATGCAAATTATATCGAATAACACAATCGCGTAAAATATTCCGAATTATCTTGCAGAGGTAGATGAAGACTTGATTGAAGAAGAAGAACCCGCCTTGCCAAAGGATCTCAAGCACATACCATATCGGTATGTCCGGTTACCCAAAAAGGAATCGCTGTCTCGGGCGTCAGAATTTTATCAAATGGCAGCCGCCAGACGTACCTTAAGATACTTTAGCGCGGATCCCGTTCCGAAGGAAATTATCCACGAAATTATAAGGGCCGCAGGTATATCTAAATATTTAAATATCTAAATATTTACATATAAAATTAAATACACTTCTACATAATAAAATTTATGTGTGTCAATTGATTTCTTAGCAGACATGATAAGGGCCTGAACTAAGGTCGAAACGTTGTCTGAATTTTGAATAAATAACTAAAGAATAACATTGCCAGTTGTGGTCGGTTTATTAACACATTTTATATTTTTATTTATATAATTATATATAAAAAGCCCTTTTATCTCATTATATATGGACACATTTCATATATAATTTTGCGATTATACATATAATTTAATATATTTCTATATAATTTCAAATTGTCATGTATAAAAATTTTGTTCACGAATAAGATAAAAAAGAAATAAAATTGACAAATTCCACCTGTTTTCAAGTTACACATCCGTGCTTTTTAAAACCTATTATAGGTACTGCTCCCAGCGGGGCGCACACAGAACCGTGGAGTTTCGTCGTGATATCCAATCGGACCGTGAAATCCAAAATCAGAAGTATCGTGGAGCAGGAGGAGGAGATCAATTATAAGAAGAGGATGGGCGTGAAATGGACCACCGACTTGTCTCCGTTGAGGACCAACTGGATAAAGGAGTATCTCACCGTTGCCCCGTATCTGATACTCGTGTTCAAGCAAACCTACGGTATTCTGCCGAATGGAAAGAGGAAGGTCCATTATTATCACGAGATGAGCGTTTCTATCGCGTGCGGGATCCTCATTACTGCCATACAGGTATAATTTTCCTTTGTGAGAAATCGGGGTGAAATTTCTTTTGTCCGAAGGAAAGGAGCCTTCTTTTTTTTTACAAGAATTTTTCGAAAAATTATGTTTTTAATCTGTAACAATTACGAAAAATATATATTAACATAAAATATCAAAAAACATTCAAACACATCAATTCATCAAGAAATTTAATTAAAAGTTAAGTTTGAGATAGAAATTATCTCGAGAAAAAATTATCACAAACTTGACGATTTCTTGTAAATACTTCATTGAATTGAATTATATAATTGAATATAAATTTACTTAAATTTAATTATATTTATATTTTCAATTATATAATTTCATAAAATAATTTTTACTTTACAAAATAATCGAATCAAGTGTATATAAATAAAATATAAATATAATTGAATTAATTGAACATTTTTTTCTAAATGTAGTACGCCGGTTTGGTGACCCTTACGTCGACCCCGTTGAACTGTGGACCGGCTATACGCAGTTTTCTTCAACGTCCACCGAACGAAAAGCTCGTATTACTTCTGCCAGTCGGTTATCCAGCTAAAGATGCCACCGTACCTGATTTGCAACGAAAACCTCTATCCGAAATTTTAATCGAGATCGATTAAACGGAGACAGATTCGTGAGACGCTGCTTTAATATTTCATACTGGATATAATCGGAGATAATATATATTTCATCTCCATATATATACATATATATGTATACTTCGTTTACATGGATCGAAAGGAATATTTGAAATAAGTCAAACATCCATTTATGTTAGCACTATTTTTATGAAAAAATGTTATATTTTTCGGATTACTAACTTTTGTTTTATATCTTACATAGCAATTATTTACTACACTAGTAAAATGTAGTATGTATATTCCTTATAAAACATCATTGCCAATATTACAAAGTAATCGTAACGTCCAAACAAAGAGCTAATCCCTGAAATGTAGCACCTGTTCGAGTCATGTCGTTTGTGTTAATCTCTCCCTCTCTTGTAATTGAAAATGTGTACAATGGCACGTATAATAAGACTGCTCTAAACTTAATAATCCAGTTTGTATAAACTAACGTTTTTATTCCAATTTGTATACATAATATTAAAAATAAGCGATACCAATATATAAATTTGATCGAGTTTAATCGAGGAGAGAAAAACTCATGTAATAATGAGAATTGGCAAAAAATTGGTTTAAGAATGAGATTATATATATATATATATGTATATGACATTAGTTGTACAATTAGGCGGTCGTAAAAATTGTCAAATTACGAAACGAAGTTTGATATCAACGAATACCAAATATCACCACAGTTTCTTAAAATTAAGTACATTTAATATATAAAATATAAAAATACTGGGCTAAATGTGACGAAGAACATGTAGAATTATAATCTTTCTGCGAGTGTGCTGCAAAGTCTGCGTATGACAGCTATGTCGCTATTATTAATATAGTTATCTCGTTAAGTGTAAAAGCTTTAGAGTATCATGATACATACAGAGAAACAGAGATAATATTCTATTTTCGTTTATCACTATTCATGGAACAAATACTATTAATATCATGATTTCCTAGAATAAATTTTTTCATTTACCTTTATCATTTCCTTCTCTCTTTCTTTTTCCTTTCCTATGAAAGTTGATTCGTTAGTCAAGTCGATAGCGCGAGGAGCTAAGAGTTAGTGTGAAGACTCGAGATCGCCAAATTTATCGTTAAATTTAAGCAATTGTAAAAGTTCTGAATGCAAAATCAAATACTTTTCAATATATATCATTGACTAAGAGTAGAATAGTCTATACAGAACTAGGAGAGTATTGTCCTATTTAACAATCTTCGACTAAACCTCTTATAGTTTGTTTATTAGTAATATATATAAATCTCCATATACACATATACATACATATATACACATATACATACATATATGTACATATATATATATATATATATGTGTGTGTGTGTACGTATGTGTCAGTTCATAAAATGAGCAAAAAATACACTTTGTTCGGTACACGAATGTAAAATCTAAGATCATCAGTAAATCGAACTCCGTCTTCGCCTTTAAAATTAATAATCTCTCTGTTCGTTCTCCTTACAGGACTCTGTTGACAGTCGATCAAATTATATATGAGTTGTATCTTTATACACTTATATATATATTCTAAAAACTATCTCGATTAAATTATATATAAATATGTGTCTCCTTACATCTTTATCTCGTCGAGATCACCAAGTGCCTGAGATAATGACAGATTACGCTAAATGTATTCTTCTCTAATTATTATCGTCATTATATTATTATTATCATCAACATAATGTAACAAGAAGCTGATAATAATATGTCAATATAAATTTTGTAATAAATAATGATCAATGAACTTTCCTTTTTTTTCTTCTTTCCCCTCCAAAAGTTTGGGGTGTCTGTATTATATAATACTATCTGTTCTTTTTCACTGAACTGGCTGCACTAGTTCAGAGTTTATCTCTTTCCCTCCAATGTGGAGTAAAAAAGATAAACTCTGAACTAGTGCTGCCAGTTCAGTCGAAAAGAAGAGATCTTAGGTGTACGAGTGAGCTCTCGCGAATACTCTCCTAATTCTCCTAATAAGACGACCAAGACGTTGTATGCCACAGCGATAGCAAGGATAGCTCCGTGACTTATATATATATATGTATATATCTATATACTATCCCAGAGAGTGAACTTAATCACGGCGATGAAATTCGGCTAAGCACAAGCGGCACGACCAGGAGCCCTCCGGAGGTGACGCAAGAGGAGGAGCCAGACAATACATGTGGTATCCACGATCACAGTCGTCACAGAACAGCAACTGATCCTATTTCAGTCCGCCAAACCGTTAATTATGACAAGTAATCCATATAAAACTCGCGGAACAAAAAACCGCGCGCAAGACCAATATTTTACATTCATTTTGAGATTGAATCAAGACTCCTGGCTATGTCAGATTGTGACGTCAGAGGCGGGAAAGCGTACGCTGGAAATTCTTAGATGCCATTTTTAAATGAAGAGATATTTCGATGGAACATATTACGTTTACATCACTTTTAAAATACCTCGAAAACTATTCTTAATCATTTTACAGCTGTTGATTGATTATATATAGGAAAAAGGATCGTTTTGACAGTAGTTTAAGAGTTTAAAGCTATCTGAAGTGCTGTCTTATCAAAATATCTTTTTATTTCGAAAATGCAATTTTTAGCATATATTTTCTCGCCTCTGACATTACAATTCCAACATTATCGGTCAGGAGCCAGAAGCCCTAAATTTCATTATTTTCTTACAAGTAAAATTTGACGACCCTGTAATTTTTTTTCCTTTTTTTCATTAATATCGCAATTTTTCTATTCGTTCGCGGGAGAAATTTCTTTTTAATTTTGATGAGTACCGAGATTTTGCGGAAGTAGATACTTACATCGTTGTCAGAGGTGCCGCAAATGGAGCAACATTTGCATTCGATACATTGCCACCTGTACTTGCGAACAGAAACGATCATATTTGCAGTGAATTGCAAACACGTTGGATGCCCTACAACAAGAACGTCAAAAGAACTCGGTCATGGAACACGCATTTTTTTCGGGACGATGGAACGAGGATGTGAAAATCTGTTGTCGGGATGCGAGTAGAAAGGTGCCAGGACAGTTATCTTGTGCCGAAGAACAGTGAACTCCAAGCTATATATATTTGTCTTTTTTTCCACAAATTATTTTATAATTTTTTTCATGCTATTTTTTCGATCAATCGAATCTTTTTTTATTTTTGGCTCTGTTTGCACAAAAATTCTGATTTCCACACACAAGTACGATTTTCTAATTAAGGATGTCTTTCACCTTTCCTCAGCACTAAAAACGTCCGGAATAATGATACGTCCTCGTGTTTCCGCACAGAATATTTTATTTCGTGATATCTGTAATTTTTTTTTGATGTTGCATTTTGAACATATTGTTATTATTTGGAATAATAGGTGGTAAGTAATAGCAGGGCGTACCTTGGAATAGTTCACGTTCTTTCTTGCGCAGCACAATATAAACGTCGCAGATGCACACTCTCCCTCGCTCCTATTCTTTTGCTCTCTCTCTCACTCTTTCTTTCTTTCTCCTTACATTCTCTCTCTCTCTCTCTCGTCACACACACACATACACGCAACTCATATAACGTATATCACATCCTTTTTATATATATCATATATATATAGAGCCATATATATATTTATATATAACTAGCGTGACTTAAATACTATATTTATAAGCCTCATTAAGGGTATTGCTTAATTAAAACTGCCTAATAACAAGTCTTCAATTTTATATATATAACAAGGAGGAACTATATATCTGCATGCTTCCATTGTGTTTTTTTATACCATGTGAGTTTTTCTTACGACAATCTAAGGACAATATAATATCAATTTATACAGAAAACTAAAAACGTAAATATATATATATATATATATATATAATATATATAGTACCTTCTCTATTTTTTGCCATATTTAGCTATACCATTATTAAATGATAGAATAGTCTACATTGTATCTCATATGTTATATGTAAAGAAGCAGTAACATACCTTTGTCAATATAGCCTTCTATATACTCGAGTTAATAATGTATGTATATTAGAAAATATTTTGTGGAAAAAAAATCACGAAGTTCTATGATCAAAGAAGACCTTTGCTCATCAATTGCGTATGAATTATTCCAAATATTTCGGAAATTCAATGTATAAAAAACAGCGTATACGCACAGATCTGTATATCGTGCAAAAAGTAAAGTTATAACTTATATGTAGTGTATATAAGTGTAAAATGAACTGCATATATATATATATATATATATATATATATATATATATATGCACATGTGTGTATAAAATTGCGATATATATATATATATTTTTCTATAGTCAGTAAAATATATAAAACAATTCGAGTTTGATCGTAAAGCAGATTAAAAGGAAGACGCCGCGTAAAAATGACGACGCTTCTTTTTGTGTGCCTGGAAAAACTCATAAGGTATTACATTAATTTCATATATGGGATAGTCTGCGATCATTCCTAATCAAATGATATCTGTAACGAGTATCAAAGCCCTTGTACAAAACTAAGCTACGTCAGATTTCAACAAGACGATTTGTTTTTTTAAAAGATATCTAACTAAAATACATTCAATGATTTAAAAAAAATTCATTACACTCCGTAACTATAGGTTTTTTATCTCATACTCCTGTTTTCTTGCTCATTAAATACGTGTGTAATAAATATATATTTCGTTATTATAAATGACAATAATAGCAAAGGGGGAGGGAAACGATTATACTCTATATTAAATCGGAGAAGCTAATGCCCACAATTAAAGGTAATCAAAAACGGCAGATATACAATTGGAATGTGAGAGACGAGTTACAGAGAAGAAAACGCGCGCGATTTTTACAGAAAAAAAATCGATAGATACATTTTTTATTTTACACATGTAAAATAAAAATTCTCTAAAAAAATTAGAGCTCTCTCTACCTTAAAGTATCATTTTCCACGCGAAAAGAACACATAAAGATTATTATATGTGTATATAATAACCATATTTAATAAACTTACTAAATAAAGGCAAAGACGTAAAACGAAGGTCTCCAAAAACTTGTAAAAATTGCCTAAGGAAGAACCAAGTTGTTACTCAAAATACAGAGCTTTACTCTGTTCAACGAAACATTATTTTTCTTTAGTAACGCAAAATGCGGTATATCTTATATATCGCGTGTATAATAAACGTCTCTCTCATTTTTGAAGAAAATACTTCACACTGATGCAAATGATATACCCTTGTCGCGATTATAAACATATATAAACGATATTGAACACATAACATGTTGTCAAACGAATACTATTAATCAAATTATATATCCTGATAGATAAAATATGATTTCTCGATGATCGTGTCAATCTCATCCAGTCAATCTTTCGTATCGAAATTCTCTCAAAATCACGAAATAGATTTATAATAGGAGATCCTTAGAATTGCACACTTTCCTCTTTCATTATCCTCTTTCCATCTGTGCTGCGCTCCCTAGCTCTCACATCTCATCTAAACCTCGTGATATATATATGTATATACTCAACAAACGCAAGGCTTACAAAAGTATTTACAAACGAATTGATTGAAAAACATGTAGAGAGAAATATGACGCGATCAACATGTCGTTATCTTACAATAAATATTGTTTACCTTCGTTAAAACGATTCTTATGATTGTGCTGGATATATAAAGTGTATATACATACATACATATTTTATATATATATATATATACACATATGTATGTATGTATATATATATTGCATCTCTCGCGTGTATCTAAAAATCTTAAACTTGCCGGTGCGTTTTTTTTCACGCCGTGTATACCTATTTTTTCATTTTTTTTTTTAAATTTTTGATTTCCACGCAACAACGTAAATATCAGGATACACTGTCAAACAGAAGACAAACACATCTTCCTCAATACGTGCTCTAGTGGTACTGTGCAACAGGAATTTTAATAAAATCTGCGTGATAAAATTTTTCGCGCCAAAAAAAAAAAAAAAAAAAAAAAATATATATATATCTATATCCAATCACACACACGTACACACGATAAAATTTAACTTCTCTCATTGCGACGAAGTTATGAATTTTTTTAGACTGCTCTCGTGCTCTTTTTTTCACCCCGTAATATTAAACGCGCTCGAAACCTCCGATTTTGTTCTCTTCTCTTCTTTTTTTATCTCCCTTACAACTAATCACTGAAAATACTATTAATCACAGCAAATTCGCGCGCAGTAAAGGAATTCTTGGAAAATTCCTATTACTCAGATGCGACAAGTTGCACCATTGACAAAACGATGTTTTGTGTTCCTCGCCTTGACTAGTGTATATAAAGCTCGTAACCGTTTGATCTCTAAAAACACCGTGCAGATAATTAAATGGTTCTCTCTTTCTCTTTCCTTAATTATTGCACCCGGGGAGTTGCACAACAGCACGTTTCTATTATTACCCTTGACGGCAGTGACGAAAAAAATGCGTCACGCGCGACAATCGTAACCCTATACAACTCAAAAAGTTACCACCTTCTCTCTCTTTTTTTTTAATCCGTTCTATTCGTCTTGACAACTTAGAGCGAAGGATTCGTAGAAAACGTGATCAGCAAAAACAACGTGTGACAATAACTTTCTAACGAAATATTATTTTAACAGCTAATGCACGCGTAAACGATGAATACGTCATCAACGGAACCAAAGAAGGAAGGCAAGATCCTCTCTAAATGATTACACAAATGTCAACAGATAATCGGATAATCTAAAACATCTCGATATTGCGCGTTTAACAATCATAGGTACGTGTTTTTGGAATATACGAATAAGGGAGGCGGAGGAAAAAACAGCGATCCTCTCCTCTTTTTGCCGTAAGGAAGAGCACGTACACGCTTTTGCTTGTGTCGTAAAATTAACAAGTTACTCAATATCAATCTTTCACGATGTTAACAGCTGAAACATGGAAGTGTTATAAACAATTATAGCGTGAACACGTGTATACAGAACGTTCCATTTTAATTGACCACTCCCAAAAACTGTTTTATTTGTAATTTTGAAGAAAAGAAAATGTTTCAAACCAAAATTGTAGGATTAAAAATTAAGTTGACCTTGGTAACGCCATCCAAGGTCAAACTGATAAGGCCAATGAATAGACCTTTCGAAACCCTACAACTTTTGTTCGAAACATTCTTTTCTAAGATTACAAATAAAAACGTTTCAGGGAGTGGTCAATTAAAATGGGACACCCTGTACATGTATATATACACCCAATAACGCTAAATGCCGTCAATGCCAGCATCGGATATTAAACCTGACATTAAACCATCTGATATCGCTAAATCATCACTAAGTCACATTACAACCCCGCGTTTTAATAAATAAGCCTGCCAGTCGCATAATCTCGGTCGCGCGGAAGCATACCCTAGGTATAATATATATAAGTTGTCCTCCATATTTATTTTATTATTATTATTATTTTTTTTTTTGAGTTGTATCTGGCTATATATTCACAGGACGCAGTGCGCGATAGGCTCGCAAAGAGATGTAGAAAATAGTAAGTCATCCGTATTGCAGAACACGTACGACTTTTGCCATCGATTCAGAATATATATATTATCCTCGTCAGCCTCTCATCATCGTCCTCGTCCTCGTCGTCGTCGTCGTTGTCGTCGTCATCGTCGTCGTCGTCGTCGTCGTCGTCGTCGTCCTCGTCATCGTCCCGGGAGGAAAGCTAATTGTGATTCGCTCTCCTGGTATACTTGCGCTTGATCTTTTCCTCTGGCTTACCTGAGCGGCCGCAGTCGCTGCACGACACCAGCTCCTCGGATCCGCCTGTCTTCTTGTTCTCGCGGGCGTCCCCCAGGCAGAAGTCGCAGTACGGGGACGGTTGGGCGGCGGACGACTTGCCGCCGGGCTTCTTCTCGGCGCCGGTCGGTCCACCCGGACCGCCACCTCCTGCACTTCCTCCTCCTCCAGCACCTCCGGGGTTGGGCGAGCCTCCTGCCCCGGTCTCCGTGGAGGAGAGCGACGGACAGACGGTGCCGCCGGGCGAGGACGCCGCGGGCAGGTGATCTTCCTTGCTCGCCGAGATGGTGGACGGCGACGCCGGCGCGATGGGCGGCTGCGAGGACGTCGGTTGCAGCTGCTGCTGCTGCTGCTGGGATTGTTGCGATGGCAGCGCCGTCGCTCCCCCAGCGGAGGCGCCGGCAGGCGCCGCCGGGGAGGGACTCGAGGTACTCGAGGAAGTAGCGTTCTGACGACCCCGACGCGTACCACCTGATCACAAACCGATCAACATACCCAGTTGCGCTTTGCCGTCATAAGCTGATGGACCATGCACACCGGTTTTTATATATATATGATAGATACAATAAAGTCGTATTTCTTTTTACTCTTTCTCTCTCTCTCTGTTTTTTATTTTTTTCTTTCATTCTGTAAATGTTCCTTCGTAATCGATTCGGTTATGTTGAAGCGATGGACTGGAATAGAATTGGAATATTCAAAGAGTCTATTAAAATATATATAAAAGGCGATAAGAGCTAATTGAGTTCTTTCATTGATATTTATTTGTGGAAAAGGATTTATAACATAAAATATTAGACAGAGAAATAAATTCGAACGTTTCGGTTGCCTTTTTCAACCTTCTTCAGCGCATCATTTAAAATTAAAGATTAATAGAAATTAACAATCAATTTAGTCATTCGTTTGCAACAATCAGTTATTCGCTTTTTTTTTTTTTTTTTTAAACTAGCTTGACGTAGTTTTATGCGAATAACTGTGTTTCTGTATAGTTTTATTATATTGACAGTTATGAATGATTGATTGTTAATTTCTATTAATCTTTAATTTTAAACGATACGCTGAAGAAGATTGAAAAAGGCAACCGAAACGTTCGAATTTATTTCTGTCTGATATTTTATGTTATAAATCCTTTTCCACAAATAAATATTAATGAAAGAACTCAATTAGCTCTTATTGCCTTTTATATGTATATTAATTTTTAAAGAGCTGTTACAAATTATATTAGTCTATTAAAACTTGTTTTGTCCTCTCTCAAAATGAAGAAATTCTTCTTAAAGAAAAAACGTTAAGGCTCCTGAGTCCTCGCCGCGAGCATGTTAGATTGTGACGTCAGAGCGGAGAAAGCGAGAAGATAAATGAGATTTTTCGGTGAAACACTATTTCAAATGGCTTTAGCACACTTTTAAAATATCTCAAAAACTATTCTTAATCGTTTTACAGCTGTTGATTGATTATAAAGGGAGAAGGATAGTTTTCGAAGTATTTTAAGTGTGTTGAAGTCATCTGAAGTGCTGTTTCGTGGAAATATCTTTCTATTTCGAAATGGCATCTAAAAATTTTTAGCGTGTCTTCTCGCCTCTGACGTCATAATTCCAACATTGTCGGTCAGGAGCCAGGACCCTTAAAGAAGAAAAATATGGTGAGATTTGAAGAACAAGATTGCAGTTTAGAAAAAATTTACTATCTCTGATAAAATTTTAATCTGACTTCTAATTATATTATTATAAAGTTTTATATCGAAAGAAATTACTATTAATAAAATTGACAAAAATATATTGAAACATTCTGTATAACATATATATAATATATCAGTTTATGGATAATTTTAAGATTGTAAAGCCCATTTATAAATTATCACATTTTTCTTCAAATAACAGAATCAATTATTCTAAACATTTACAAATATCTAACAAATTGTTACAACAAGGAAAAAAAACAAATCTGATTATATATGTAAGTATAACAAAGTGCACATGTCAATCAGTACATTCCATCACCAGCAGCAAAATCCAAAGATATAACGACGAGATATATATCGATATATATTCCAAGATAAAGAGACAGATAACAAACAAACGATTTTTCAAACATATCGAAACTACAAGTAACTTCAAAGATACCTATTTGAATCAACGAAGCCTTAACATTCATTAATAGGAGAATCGAAGCCAAAATCGCTCTAGGAGTAATACATAAGCGTCAAAACAGCGAAGAAAAGAAAAATCTTTATGTTTGTTAAAAACTATCATCATGCTGAAAGAGAAATACTAATAATAAAAGAAGCTACAAATTTTAAAAAAATAACTAAAGAACACGCACACGCATACAAGACGCTCAAGAGTAAAGACATTGGCTACGTTCGCTTTGGCGTTTTCAGCGCTATAAACATCTTTTGTCTTCGTTGCACATCGAATATCAAACGAAGACAGAAGATGCTTATAGCGCTGAAAACGTTCAAAACGAACGCAGCTATTGTAATTAAGGAAAAAAATATTTAAAAAAAAACACTAAACCTAGACATAATTCGATAAGATCTCATCTTTCTTATTATCTTAAAAGTATACAGAATAAAAAGAAATATTTCAATATTCTATATTGCAGATGCATGCTACTGCAAAAGAGATGCAACACAAATAATTATCGCTTTCTTACACATTAAGATATTAAGGCATTCCCATTTGTTCTCACACAATAGGTAAAAGTACAAAACGAGAAAAAGTACACAAATATATCTTTTCCATCGTAAAGTGCAAAATAATATCACTCATATCATACTGGCTTGAATATTCATTTTATCTGTATGATATATAAATTAGTCATGATATAAATAAAATTATATAATTAGACATATATAATATATAATGAGATATTAGAAAGGCATAAATTCCATACACACATATTTTGAGAAATATAAATTTAAAATTAGACAGAAAAAGATGTCTTATTTGCAATGCATGCATTTGCAGTACATGTAAAAAAATATATAAATATATATTAGGTTGTTATATTGGGATATAAGTTGTATGTTGGATAAGAGTATAGTTGCACTTGGGGATAAGATTGAATATAATGGCAGATGGATAAGGAGATTGGATGAGAGAGAGACTTGAGGAAAACGCGGGGCTTAAAGGAAAGTGAGAAAACTGAGCTGATTTTGGCTCCAACCTGGCTGGTTCGAAGCAGCGGTGTCTGCAACGCTCCTAGGTTCAACTTCGGCAGGACTGGGACTTAGTTCCTTAGCAGGATCACCAGAGGAAGTAGAGTGGGAATGACCGTAATGGTAGACCAGACCAGGTCTGGTCTTATACCGTGCGCTGCATACTGCAAAAGTGCAAATACTGTTTTCCCGCAATCCATCCAATGCAACGTCCAATGATAAGACAGACCTTTTTTTGTTTAACGGATGATCAAGGGAGGTAATATCAATATGGGACATCAGAAAAGCTGATAGGGGTAGGGTGGGGCGGTGGTCAGGGATAGCATTTGCACACCTTTCGCACCAGTACACATCCCTATCCACCTACGAGTCTATATGTGGACAAGCAGTGAAGGAGTTCCAGCCCAAGAAGCAAAACTAATACGATGCAAGGCTTGATGCTTGTACTCCTACAGAATGAGCTCGCTACAGTGTTTGAGCCAGTACATTCTTGCTCTGTTATTATTGCAGGTAGAACTAGTCCGAAGATATTTGGGCCGGGTGGACATTTGAGCTCGAGCTCTCGTCAATGAACAGAGAGTTTAATGTTCTGTTAAAATTGTCTCTTTAACACGAGCTCTTGGCACAACCAGACCAAATGTCTTTAGATCATCTGCTAGTCTAACAGGAGTGGTTTCAAGAAGTAAACAGATTGCAGGCACATTCGAGTTAATTCATAGACTTTGTGTCTGGAAAAGTTTTGACCAAATTAGTAATGACTATTATACTCCTTCAAGAAGACAATATTGAGTTTGTTCAGAAAGTTATTTCAATATTCTTTTTTCTCTTTTCTCTTGTTTACTATAGATAATCGAATTCCATAAGTTTGCGCATAATAAGTATATAAAAATGAATTTCTCCAGAAACAAAAACATCAATTTATTCGTTTTGTAATATTAAATACTGGTTAGCAGCTTTAGATTTAAGATTATATTTCCATGATAGAGTTAAATGTTATGTGATGATAAATTGTAAATTACTGATGATGGTAAAAATTGCCAAATAAAGTTCAAGCATTTAATTGACATGATAGTATATATAGTTTGTTAGTAATTTATCCGTTTTCTTTCACTTAAAGTGTGAAATATGAAATATTAAAAATGACAAATGTTAAAAGAGTTAAATTGCAAAATGTCTGATTTCAGCACTGGAATTATTCAAGTTATTTGCATAGAGAAAAAGTCTGTACTCATCTTTTAATTAATCAATGTAGAAAAACATTTGAAATTATAAAATATGAAAAGGCATATATACTATTTATGCACAAAGTTTTGGATATTTGGAACATATGACTAGTCTTTGCCTTGCACTCAGAGAATCATACCATAATTGCTCCTACTCGAATAAAGAACAAAATAAAATACCAAATACGATCTTTATACTTAAAGTTTCATATATGTTATACTTAATTTTGGTGTAACACCAGTATATATCCGATATACTCTGATCAGTCTGTCTGAATAAATAGTATCGACTAACTTAAAAAACGAGAAAATAAGCAACTTCCGCATTATACTAATTATACTGTTATCTAGTATATGTAAAATTATTTAACTATAATATTTAACAATTTATTTCGAGTTTCCATCTTATTTTATATCTAACTTTTGTGTCGTGGTGTTATGGATATCATATAAACGTGGGATAAACTTAACAAATTTTGTAAAGAAAGAATAAGTATATAACTTAATAGAAATAAAATTCAAAATTAATAATAATAATAGTATTTATAATAAACTAATAACAGGAAGAATAGTCATTTGTAGTTGTATCTATGATTAAACTTACGGTCACAAACGAATGGTTTATCAGTGTCAACAGAGTCGTAGTTGGCTTTTTTGCGTCCGCGGCCTCCACCCTGCATTAAATAAAATTCACACTATTTATTTATGTGCAGATTGGAAACTATATACATAAATTTGCATAAATTTTAAAAAAGGCTTTGCATGCAAACTAAATACATACATATACGTGTATTTATCTCAAGATATATATTGACTTATTATATCGATATTAATATTTTATATTCAAAATATTTATTATTTAATTATATTTATATTTACATATAACTTTTTATATTATAAATTTTTATAATTTATTACTTTAATATTCCTAAATATACCTTTGTTCGTTTGCCGCCTGGGCTATCTGTCGAAGGTGGATGATTACGAGCAGGATGGTGACCACCTCCACGTGTTTTCCTGCGTTTTCGTTTACTACTATAACTCTCTTCATAATCATAATCACTATCAGGATCAGGTTCATCGTAAGCATCCATGTCTAACATATCTTGTTCATCATAATACCAAGCATCTTTACTATGTTCGTCTAAAAACATTCAATTTTTATTTGCGACACAGTTTGGTAATACCGATCTAATTATATAATTTAAGTAAAAATAAAGCGTCAAGAAAGCACAGTCTTTAAAAGTCGATGAATATTAAATCGCGCGGATTCACAATGTACGTCCGTACGCGGTGACAGTCGATAACCGAATCTCCGCACGCAAAATCGCTCCTCAATCTTTCGTTTCAAAATCGACCTTCGAAAGGCTTCGAGAGGCTTCGAGAATTTTATATTTGTTTATTTCCTTTGTCTCTTACGTCTTGATACTTGTCTCTGTGCTTCTCGTCTTTCGTCTCTCTCTGTCTCGTCTATTATGTTTTTATTTATATTTATTTTGTCTCGGTACTTTTCGCATGTGTGGCCGTATTCGTGTAAGTATTTTCAAAGAAAATAAACAGATATAAAATTTTCGAAGTTTCTCGAAGCCTTTCGAAGGTCGAATTTTGATGCGAAAGATATGAAGAGCGATATATATATATATATATATATATATTATAAATATATATTCTACATAATAATATAAACAAAATTAAATAAAATTTGTATCTTTTCTTGTTAAATAAAATAAAATAAATAATTAAATAAAATATTTATCCTTTCTTGTTTACCTTTAAGTACTACTGAATCTTTGCTATCGTCATTTATGTGCGTAACAGCTTCGATGCCTTCTGTTCCATCCTCTGTATCACCTCTTGGTCCTCGTTTTGGATGTAGATAGTGCATCAAGTATTGCCGTCGTTTCTTTCGCCATCTTTTGCTTGGATAGGTGTAAATTTGACCATTTAACAATCCTGGTAATCTTTCTCTCGAGGACATAAAAAGTGCAGAATGATTCTGTGCCACACCTGCAGTTTTACATAATCCTAAATATTATCATATAAAAACAAAGATATATATATAATTTTTATAATTGTAATTGATGTTACAATTGCATTAATTTAAATAAGAAATCATAGAAAGTTGCGCAACACAATTAGCGTATCATTTACATATATTTAATTATATATTATCTATATATTAATATATATTTAATTAAATTATTATTTATATATTATTATATATTATATCATTTATAATTTATATATATTTAATTAAATATGTTATCAATACAAAAAGTCAAAAGTTTCATTGACCTCAAAATATTTAATTACAGACTCGAACTATCGTTACAGTCTAATCACTTTGATCATGATTTTGCAGATAGCTATTTACAAATATAAATTACAAAGATAAATAGATAAATAATTGAAATCACTTTAATTGTAACTGATGTTACACTTGCATTAATATAAATAGGAAATGCTTCAAATTAAGAACAGAATTTTCATTACTAATTTTAGATTAAATCATAGAAAGTTTGCACAACACACTTAGTGTATTTTCTACATATATTCAATTAAATTATTGTTTATATATTATTTATAAATATGCTATCGATACAAAAGGTCAAGTTTCATTGACCTCAAAATAAGTAGTTACAGACTCGAAGCATTGTTATAGTCTAATAACTTTGAACATATGATTTTGCAGACAGGTGTTTACAGAAATACAACAAATCCAATCGATAAATCAGTAAATTACGCCCAAAAGCGCAGACACACCTCCAATCATCGTGAAGACGAAAAACGATCACCACAACTGTGCGATTAATCTTACCCGTTTGCGAGTCGAGGAAGGGCATGCGAAGACGTCGTTCCCGGCATAATCTGCTATTGTAATTGGAGGAATTCTCAATGGCTTCTCTGTAAGCCGTGTCGTTGAGGAAGCTGCGGAGACGGATCAATATGATTAGACGCGACTGCTTCGAGCGAAGAAAAGAAAAAACGACGGATACGCACCTCTCTATCTTACTTAAATTATTCTCGTTCACCACTTGTATCATTCCACCGCTGTTGTTGTGGGCCATCGCGGGAGGCATCGCCACCGCCGTCATCTTCGACGTCACCAGAACGTTGTGCGTTGCTTTGCTCCGTTGCTCGCAGGCCGGCTCCTCTTCTTCCCGGAAGTGACACTGCGCCGATCAAGTGTCAAATGGCATCTTCTAGTGTCAACAGAACAGAAAACTCAATGAATTATATAAATGAATACCGGTGAAAAGTATTACTGACAGCACTGCAATTATTGTAATACGACGAGTGAGAAAAGAGGCTTTTTTATATTTAATTATTATGTCACCGTACAGTTGACTTCCTCTTTCCCTCTCTTATTCTAATGGCGCGCATGCGCAGAGTTTGAAAAGTGAAAAGGAATAATCTTGAGAATCTAAAATGCAAAATTATAGAATATAGGTAATCGAGTGTACAGATTAAGAAATCAACGGTTTATTTTTAATGTATGGAAAAAGAGGTACATTAAAATACATATTTCGTACATTATCTAAAGAATGATAATTACTATTGTTTAAAAGAGTGCACAGCCATTTTAAGAAATATTTTTGAAAAATGATTATTATCATTGTGTAATAATAAATATGATAAGTAAAAGTTGCCAAATTCTTTTATGTAATCATGTTAATTATCTACACATTATAATAAAATGCAAGGTGTGTACAAAGATTGCTTTATAATAAAATATTTATAATAAAAATACTGCACAAAATATAAAAATTATATCCTCTTATATAAATTTTTATATATTTATTTAAAAAGAGATTTCACCATTTTCAATAAATATAAATGCAAAAAGTTTAACTGTTTTATAATATAATTATCATAATAATCTTGCTGCGATCCTTGTTTTATATTATAAAATATATCACCAAAAATATTAAATACAGAATTTTGAAATAATAAAAAAAATTTACTATAAAGAGTTGCTCATTATTAAGTTCACTATTGGCTTATTGAGATATCGTATAATATTTAGAAATAAATAAATCCTTAACACGAGAGATATTATTAGATTAAGATTTTAATTCACCACTTAGATCTCTCGTTTCCTTCATAATTTTCAATTTTGCAATCAATTCCTCTACTGCCATTTCACCATGCACAACATTGTCTCTCGTTCTTATGTTCACTGTGCCAGCATTACGTTCCTTCTCTCCTACAACTGCAATAATATACACACATTAATATAAAAGTTTTATTGCACCAAATAGTATTGTATAAATTATATAAATAAAATTAAAATAATATATAATATTATCATTATTAACTATTAAAATTATATAAATTTTATGTTTTTATATTTTATATGTATTTTATATATTTTTATATTTTATACATACTTTATATATATATATTTATCCCCTGTCCACACACACAATTATTTTATATTTTGTAATTTATATGAAATGAAATATAATTCTATATAATTTTATTGAGTAAGTTTAGTACATACCAAGTATAAAGTTAAATTGTGCAAGCTGAGCATTGCGGATCTTCTTGTTCAAAGTATCACTCGAATCTGTGTCGACTTCAACCATGACGCCAGCGTCCCAGAGTTTCTGTCTCACTTCATAAGCGTAGTCATCGAATTGTGATACTACTGGCACAACCATTGCTTGTCGGGGAGAAAGCCAGTATGGCCATTTTCCTCCATATGATTCAGTTAGGATCGCAATCATACGTTCTACAGAGCCTAGGATAGCTCTGTGTATGATAACTGGTCGTGTTTTCTCTCCCGCTTCACTGAATAAGAAAATAAATAATTAATATGAATCAAATCAAAAAATGTATTGAAGCTACTAAAAACTATACTTACTTGACGTAAGATAGATTGAATCTAATGGGCAACTGGAAATCTAATTGTATCGTAGCGGTCTGGTGGGCCCTTTTAAGTGCGTCCATAATAGTTATGTCGATTTTAGGTCCATAGAATGCACCATCTTGAGGATTAAGGCTCCACGGTTGACCAAATGAGTTCAAGCTCTCCTCCAACGCTTTCTCGGCATGATTCCAGACCTCTATATCGCCCAAATACTTCTCGGGTCGCGTGGACAGGCATAAATTGAATGTAAAACCAAAGACAGAGTAAACGTGCTGTAAAAATCGAGAGCGGCAATCATCTCGTCCTTGATTTGATCGATGGAGCAGAATATGTGCGCGTCGTCCTGCTGGAAACGCCTCACTCTGGTGAGACCCGTCAAAGCGCCTGACAGTTCATTACGATGCAGCACCCCGAAGTCCGCCATCCTGAGCGGCAGCTCGCGCCAAGATCTGCACCGCACGTCGAATATCATGCAATGACCTGGACAATTCATAGGCTTCAACGCGAAGGTCTCCTTCTCCACGTCGAAGGAGAACATGTTCTCGGCGTAGTGCTGCCAGTGTCCGGAGGTCTGCCACAATTTACTGTTGTAAATGTTCGGAGTGACTACTTCTTGGAATCCTCTCTTCCTGTACTCGGAACGAATAAATTCGACCAATGTATTGTAGATGTACGCGCCGCGTGGTTGGAAGAAACAGGAACCGGGCGATAGCTCATGGAAGAAGAACAGCTCCTGCTCCTTCCCGATCTTCCTGTGATCCCGTTTGGCCGCCTCTTCCTGAAACTTTTCCCATTCCTTCAACTGCTTACCATCGGGAAGCTTATTCCGTAAACTCGCTGCAACGACTCCGCGTTAGCGTTTCCCTCCCAGTACGTGGACGAATTTTTCGTGACCTTGAGGGCCTTGATCTTGCCCGTGTGCCTAACATGCGGTCCCCTGCACAGATCAATCAACGGGCCGCATCTGTAAACCGTAGTAGTGCGCGTATGTATCTTCTCGTTGATAATCCGTACTTTGAATTCGTTGTACTTGAACATCTCCAAGAGATCCTCCTTCGTCATCTCCAGTCGTTCAAACGGCTGCTTCTCTTTGGCTATACTCTTGTATATATTTTCCAAATACGGAAAGTCTGTGTTAGAAATACCCTTCTCTCCCAGATACATGTCATAGTAAAAACCATTTTCGATGGGAGGACCATAACAGAGACAGCCACCGTATACTCTTTCCATGGCCTCCCCGAGAATGTGGGCGCTGGAATGCCAAAACACTTGTCGACCCTCCATATCATCAAATTTCAACAACTGCAGCTTGCAATCGTATTCCAAAGGTCTGTCAAGATCCCATAATTCATTGTTGACCTTTGCAATTACAGTATTGTCCGCCAATCCTTGACTGATGTTCCTTGCGATTTCATAAGGAGTTGTACGCCAGGATTGAGCAGGCACTTCCTTGCCATCCGAAAGAGTCACAGTTATATCAACAGGGGTTTTTGCGGCTAAGGCTTCCTCATATTCCTTCTTCAACTTGTCCCATAATATGATACGATCCTATAAAAAGGGAAAGATCAAATATTGTATGTTAAAATATTGAAGAATTTGCAACAATCCTTGTATAAAAATATTACCATATGTTTTTACTTTTTCATTTAAATTTCCTCTATTCACTTTAGTATACATTAAGAAAATTTTGTAGCTAAAATTTCTTAAAAATAATGATACGCATGGAAAGAAAAATTTATAATAATCTTGATTTACTTGAATGTATGAGGGCCAAGGATTAAGCTCAGTTATAGTCTTCTCCACCACCGCATTTTTCTTCTTGTTTGCCTTCATCGTCTTCGTCTAAAAACAGAAAAGGAAATTAAAATAAAATCGTATACCCAGGATTCACGAGCGATGTATCAAATTACTTATTAGAGTGAACGTATGTTAGGTTTAGCTAGGATAGACATTTTCTACAAAAGATAATCGTGGGTTACGTCAGATTATCGATCTGTCAACGATCAACTGTGTTATGAATTTTTGAATGATAAACACGTTCTAACGCACTGTTAAACGATGCAAAGTGACAAGAGAAACAATTTAGACTTCACTTATTCGCCACACACACGAGGGAAAAATGCATCTTAACCAACCCGAGCATGTGTCCACCTAGTACCGCAGTAAACCGGCCTACAAACGCGAAAACTCGTCAACATCTCAAAAACGGGAGCATTAGAGAAGCCGAATTTGTACGAGAAAGTTAAGGAATTCATGCCTTATCCTCCGTCAAAGTCAGATTTTCTACGTCGGCCACCACGTTGTCGCTCATGTCGGATATCACACAATCTTCCAAGACCGCCGATTTTAATTCTAAGTTTGCGCTGCGTTTAGCATGAAATCACAATTTGCAACGTGATGCAAAACTCGCCGCACGCGGCTGCTCCAAACGTCACCGCCCACGTCACCCGTCACCTGTCACGTGCGAACTGTCAACCAATCAAAATAGAGATCTTCGCTTTTTTTTTTGTCCAAGTGCTAGGGATTTTTCGTCAGCGTTATTATTTATATTTTTATATTAAAATATATGAAATATATAAAATATAAATATATACATATAAATAAATATAATAATTTTTAGATTTTTTGCTCCTATGGATTTCCGAACGCCAATCCTTTACGCTGGCAACCCTGCTGTCAGTAGTTTGTCTGACGGGAGCGTCGAGGAGGTGGTAGATTTCTCTTCTCTCGGCTCGGCGGCCTCGGCGCGAGAAACGACGACGAGGAGCATCATCCGCCGACACTTCCGTCGTCGTGGAAGAGGAGAGACCTCGACCGGGATCCGGGAGGCAGAGGAGTCGCGGTGAAAGGAACACGAGGATCTACCCAGGATTTTGTCCTGCCGAATTTAGGTAAGGAAGTTTTCCCGAATTCTCGCGGCTGCACCCACGTTACACCTCCTATCTGCACGTAAAATTCGGATTCGGCGGACGAGGCTAGAGAGGAAAGAGTAATCTTGCCGACGCAGACGCGCGACAGGCTCTCCTGCATGAACTTTCTCGCTCGTGAAATGTACATACTTTCTCTGAGTAGAGCGTTTCGTCCGCAATTTTTTTTTGTTCCTTATGCTTCCTTTTATTGAGTCGACTGAAAACTTGAGCTATGTTAGAGTTTATCACGACACGTGAATTTGGAATCTCCTCCGAATATTCTTGATTATTTCGACATACGGGATATAATATTTACGTATTTAATTTTGAGAAATAATAATAAAGAGGGGATCGAGAAATCGTTGTGTTGATCGACGATAATCACTAAATATATATGATTACTTAGGTTTGTTGTACTAAAAAAAGATACATGTATGTTTTATTGGCTGTCAATCTAAAGTTAGATCTTTCTGGTCAATGAACTTGGCGAATGCGTGTAGGAAAACAAGGCTGCGAAAACAGATTTTTATTGTTTATTTATTTGAGAGATATTGTCTTCTTCGCTTGTATACATGAGTACCTACCTTTTTTTTCCATTTTCAGAATATGGCTCGTGGACAGCAGAAAATACAGTCTCAAGCTAAGGCTGCGGAAAAGAGTGCAAAGTTGAAGAAGCAACAGGGGCACAGCGCCAATGATCAGAAGAAGGCTGCGCAGAAAGCACTCGTGCACGTGTGTTCTGTATGTAAGGTATGTGATCTTCAAAGATTTTTGCTTACCTTGACTCCTTATGTGGCATTTAACGTGTGTTCTATATATGGATTCTTTTATTTGCAGGCTCAAATGCCAGATCCTAAAACTTACAAGCAACACTTTGAGAATAAGCATCCCAAGAATGAACTGCCTGATGATTTAAAGAATATATGAGGTTCGAAACTTTTGTACAGTGAAAATTGGGCTTAGAACGCAGGAAAAATGTGTCTCAATGGACAAAGTGATATAGTTCAACATTCATCTGATCATATTGCATAGTTTCAGAAAATTAATAAAACCTTGTTAGTGTTTTAACTGATCTATTGCGCACTCAACAGATTGTTGTACACATTTCAGAACGTTAGGAATAATTGATGACTTACTTATGAAAATTCTTGATTTGTAAAGAGTCAGCATACTTTATTTTTCACATAAGCATACTTACATCTAATCTTGTGTACGTTTTTAAATAAAGTTTATAAACTTGATGGCGCAAAGAATATATATATAAGAAAAGAGAGAATATAGCATTAATTTCTTATTTCTGTTACAAAGAGAGAGATAATATATAAGATATAAAATATAAATGACTAAACAAATTTTAAATCATTTTCTGTATATTAAGAACAAAGCATTTTAAAATTGCAGAGATTGAAAAAGAAGAATGTTTCCTCATTATAAATCTTAATTTTGTACCGTAAATTATGAAAAGAATAATATTGTTTGTCACTGACTTTGTTGCATTTAACTTATATATATTTTGATGTAAGAGCTCACAAAAGCAATTCTTCAAGAGTTATAAGGTTGAATACAATGCAGAATCTTTAACTACATAACTGCCAATTTATAGGTCATTGTATTGTATGCTCTTTAAAATAAGAAAAATGTATAGTTAAACGAGAATATTATTACATAGCCCCTTCCTCTTATTTATAAAGAGTTATATTTTTATTTCTACTTTAATTGATCTTATTATATGTATACATGTATATTGTGTTTGCACTGTACTGAACTATCTGTCTATCTATCTATACATAACTTCTACCGTTTTGCAAACAACTACTAATTAAAATAATGCATTTTTTATATGCTTACAAAAATATATGTAGTACTTAAAATATCATAATAAATAAATATAAATTAAGAATAATTGATTCATATTGCATTATTGTATATTAATATAAGTGTAAAAAATGTAAAGAGAATCCGATACATATGACTAATAAAGAGTCTATTATTTTTCTGACGTAATGTTTTTAACATATTTTATAAATGGAAACAGACATCCAATTTTGCACATTGTAAACTGTATCTTACATTTTAAACAGAATATATATAATTGTATCAGCGACAAAGCAAGATAATGATAGATTTCATATTAAAACTTATATAAAATCAGAATTTTGAAAATATTCTAATATTAGATAATAGAATAATATATATTTCTGAATACAACGATTAATTTTACATGTATGTAATACAAATCGAAAATTTTATTAAATTAATTAAACTTCACTACACACCATATTGTACAAATAATGTATACGAATCGAGCGCGATTTTATCACTTCTCTTTCGCAGCTTTCCTTTAAATTACTTTACAAGTCACTGCTTTGCAAGTCATCGCATATTGCGTTATATATTCGATAGATATATTTTTCTAGATAAATAATAATGACATCGTAAACCGTGACGTAGTAACTAAGTGCGATTTAAAAAAATATGAATATCTGCCTATAATCATAACATTAATATTAAATATTATTAATATTGCCATGTATATATTATAATTGAAAATTTATTATATATTAGGAATATATAAAATATATAATAATATAAATATATATATATATATATATATATATATATATATATAAAATAGCAATATATTATATATATATATTAAATTTCGAAGAAGATCGAGCATAATTTAATATCTAATTGCGACACCCAAAAAGGACACTTGCTAATTATTCGGATAATTATTCGATACATATACCCAGATAACCACAGTAATTATTATGACATCACTTTGATATTAAAATGCATCATTTGCCATCAAAATTATGCATTTTGACATCAAAATGATGTCATAATAATTACTGTGGCTATCTGGGTATGTATATTAAATATATGTAAATGATCACTTAATTCGAGATCGATGTTTCGTGAGATAGTGCGAAAATAGTCTGCGAAGTCTTTCACAATTTCCACGATGAGTTGGATCACTCATTTTTATCAAAACATTACTAAACTGAATCGCGTCTCTCGATGTATCACTATATGTGAAAATTACATTACATCATGTTGAGAAGTAACTCGATGACATGGGCCATCAGCCAATGGTATGTGTATCTACGCACACAACGATATTAGTTTATTTACCACACGGTATATAAATGCGGGCGATCGCAGTATCATTGCGACAGTTATCAGTTTGCTTATAAGAGCGCGGTTTCCGCATCGATATCTTTTAGCGAAAAATTCGATTTTGGATTTATTATCAACGTGAAATAGAAGGTACGATATACATTTCTCTCTAATGAAGCAAAAATGATCAGTGCAACAATGAGTCAACTTTCTTTTATGAAGAGATCTGGAAAATGCAAGATTTTAAGATAATTCAGAGATTTAGGTCAATTTATATTTTTTTCATGTCCTAGTTTAATTTTTAGATTAATTTTTTCAAGTTATATATTAAGAAAAAAAACCATACTGACTATCTTAATTAAAATACGCTTTTAATTTGCGTTTGTAATAATGGATCAAAATTTAATCTGTCTTTCTACAATCTACCTCAGAAGAAAAACAAAGAAAAGTAAAAAAAAAAATTAAAAATCTTATTATTCACTTTAATTATATATTCTCGTAACTCTTTAATTATATTTTCTTGCACTTTGCATAAATTTTACACTTATCAACTCGAGCGATTAAGTCAAAGATCGAGTTAGTGGAATAAAAATATAATAATTAATTATAATAAAATTATGTAAAAAAATATATTTTGATGAGTTCATAAGTTTTGTATATTGTCAATTTTTCGTAACTAAATAATAATTATGATCAATATGAAACTTTTGAACTCATCAAATTATATATATACATCTACATATTGATGTTCACAATGTATATTTTTTTGCGCTTATTCATTGTCGTTCGAATTTTAATGAAATGAAATCACGATATTAACATCTTTAATTTTGCGGTTGCTTGCGCTTTTTGGAGCTATGCAGATCATTATATCTACGTTCTAAAATGTGTACTCGAGAGTAAATGGAAAATGCTAGGAGAGATGATGAGATTATTCTCTGAGAGAGTTTTGCTAATGACACTATAATGTGAAAGTAGAAGTTCTCTCATTTTTGCCTTCATTATAAACCTGATGCATATTTGATGCTTATATTGAGATCATTATACGACATAATAATCTATGCGGAACAAAGCTATTTGCGCGATCTTATAGATAAAAACTTATCAATAATAATGATTAATATACGGAAATTAATTGAGCTATTATATATGTAACACTTAAAATTCAACAGTTATTAAAAGGAGATAATTAACAAAATTATGTAATAGTCTGAGTCACCTATTGGTTTTTAAACCAATAAAGTTTCAGTCTATAAATATTTTCCCTTTTAAATAATTTTTAATGCAATTTGATGACATATAAAATCGATAGAATAAAATTTTGTATTTCGAAGTAAATATCATATGTGTCATCGTCATCTGACTAATATAGATTATTATGCTATTATTAGAAAGTTCTATAATTATATATATTTTATGATAACACGTTTGACCATCTGTCGTACTAATATAAATATATATTTATAACATTTTATTATTATATCTTGATAAAATATAATATCCTGTTTATATATTTCGTATTATCTATTCCTACATATAATGTGATAGCCATATTTTCTATAAATATAATTAATTGTATATAATGCGGATATCAAGTTTGCAAATAAACTCGTATATGTTTATTTAAATGAAGCATATCCTATATATCAAAGATGAAACATATGCCTCAGGTATATATAAATTTTTTGAAATTAATTTAATTCTTGGTATATGCATACACGAATTAAATACATTTAATTATTATACATTGCGAATAATTGTGAATAAAAGAAAATGGTTTTAATATCTCTTCAGCGGCTCTCTCATAAAATAAATTTGTTGCAGTTTTATCGCAAAACTTTCCATATGGTGATGGATTCAACCGTATTTCGGACTCGTTCCCACGGCACGCCGGCCGAGGGTGTCAAGGATCAATACGCGGATGGCAGAGCGGCGAAAGTCTGGGAGTTCTTCATCGGTGACCTTAAGCAGCGTACGCAGAATTATCGGGACTTCCTGGTGGGTCTGCTGCGACAAAGGGGATGCCGTCGAGTGCTGGACGTCGCCTGCGGCACCGGGGTCGATTCCGTGATGCTGGTGGAGGAGGGCTTCGAGGTCGTCAGCATCGACGCCTCCGACAAGATGCTGAAGTACGCGTTGAAGTCCAGGTGGAACCGCAGGAAGGAGCCTGCCTTCGACAACTGGGGTGAGTTTAACTCAGACATTTGACAGAATCGAAATTTCCCATTAAGCCTAAAAAGAGAAAAAGGGTTTGTACAAGAAAGAAATAAAGCGCATTTTATTTATAAACTAGAGTAGAAAAAAAAGACTGCGACAAATAGGAGAATAACATGTAACTTTGAAAAACAAAGATTAATCAGATATATGACGTGAAAACTTAAAATAACTTCGTGATACGCAGCAGCTTGAGTATATCTGTTTGTCTTGATTGAACATAACAATATACAATACGCGAAAATAATATATATCTAAGAAAATTGAAGTCCATACTGCGATAATAACGCAATAATAACAATAACAAGATCGTAAGTTCAATGTAACAAGGCTTTTTCATTTACGGTTTCGGATGTTAATAATAATTACTGTTATTATGTAATGTCATACACAATCGTGGAAAATAATATAATATGTATAATTAAAATGCAAAAATTGTGGTCAAATAATTTTAAGTACGATTACAATATTGTACGAAAATAATCACCGAATTGTTTTATCATTATCAGTAAATACTCACAAAGGGCTTTCGCGTTATCAGGCAGGGTCAACTGGAATTTTTTATTTGGTCTTCGACCTCGTGATGCTAATCACATTTGACTAAAATAAATGTGGTTAATGTAAACACTGATAAGATTGAAGCGAATAATAAATATTTCAAATAAACTTCGCTTCGCTACAACATTATGTTGTGTATATCCAAATATCTTGTAAAATATTAATATACACATATATTCTCAATGTATAAATGTATTATATGTATACATTTTTCTATATTCAAAATTAAATAAAAAAAACAAGAATTAAAAATGTTTAAAGCAAAAGAGATTTGACCTACTTAAACAAAGAAAATTTGATAAATATGAAAAATCTGCTCTTGCGAACATTATTATTTCTTTTTTTATTTAATTGTTAACAGTGATTGAAGAGGCGAATTGGCTAACCCTAGCCCAGGATATTAGTCACCTCATTGGAGAAGGTTTCGATGCAGTTATATGTTTGGGAAATAGTTTCGCCCACATGCCTGATACTTTCGACGATCAGAGAGAACAGAAGTATAGAAAATTCATTATTCTACAGAGATTATATTAAATTAAATTATCCATACTTGCAAGATTTAATTTTCAAAATAACCAAAATTAATTTAAGTGCACTATAATATGTGTCTCATTTAATTTTATCTACATCATCTTATTTATAAAACGTATATACAGGGTGTCCCATTTTAATGTCCCACCCCAAATAAGTTTTTTATTTTTGATTGTAGAAAACAATGTTTCAGACAAAAGTTGTATGGTTTCGAGGAGGACATAAGGTGGTGCCATTAGTTTGACCTTGAATAGTTGCTTCAGGGTCATGTAAAGATCACCTTTAATTTCTTAAATGGAACCACCTATTTTTCATTACATATTCTTGTAGCTGACATTGAGAGCTTTCCAAAACATTATAATAAAACATTTTTATCTCAAGTATTTTTTGAGTTATAAGACAAGATCTCCTCACCTCAAGGTGACCTTTACGTGACCTTCAAGCAACTTTCAAGGTCAAACTAATAGCACCGTCTTCCTGTCCTCCTCGAAACCATACAATTTTTGTCTGAAACATTTTTTCTACAATCAAAAATAAAAAACTTATTTGGAGTGGGACATTAAAATGGGACATCTTGTATATATATATATATATATATATATATATATATATATATATATATATATATATCTACATTCTATATTATTCTAGGCAAGCTCTGGCGAATTTTGAGCGTTGCGTAAGACCGGGAGGTTTACTACTTATCGATCACAGAAATTATGACTATATAATCAATACCGGCCAAACTCCTCCCAAATGCATATATTATAATGTAAGTATCACTGAAAGAAAAAATTCTCTATAATTATTTATCGTTATTGTTATCATACAGGGACATCAAACTGGTATACATACATTTTATTTACATCCATTGAAAACTGCAGACTTTCCTCTTTTCAACACAACTTTTGTTTTCTCAATAACTGCATCCATTAAAAAATGACATAACGTGACGGTCTAATTCAAATTTATAAATTGATAAATGCTAGTTCTCTCTCGTTCAGCTAACTTACCGAAACAATTGAATGATCGTCGCTTGTTATTTTGGGAAAATAAATTTGCATCGAGGATTTTTCGTTCTCGCAGAGCGAGCACATGTTGGACATCAAGACGTCGGTGCTCTACGTCGCCGGAAAACCGCGGATCGTCACTATGGATTACATGATCGCTCTGGATGAGGAGAACATGGATGATCCCGAGAACATCAGCGAGTTCAGGCTGTCGTATTATCCTCATAAATTAACAGTCTTCCGGGATATGCTGACCGAGACATTCAACCACAGGACGAAGCACACAATCTACGGTGACTTTAAGCCGCTCAATGAGATCGAGGAGCCCGGATTTTACATCCACGTGCTGGAAAAACAACTTTAAAGAGTGAGAAACACGAGAAATAAAATGTGATATATTATTCATCCTTAAACAGTTCATCAGCTTTCCGGAACAATCAAACGTTCCATCACACGAGACTGAATAATATTAAATATTAAATAATATTAAAATACTGGTCATCTGTTTATAGAGACGAATGGTGAATTATTTTTCATTTTTTTATATACATATATAAAAATGATTCTTTTATCTTATTAAAGTAATCTATCAAATATATAAAATCATTTTTTATCTAATTAAAACACTATTACTATTTTAATAAATTTTATAATTAGATATTAATAAAATTGATGAAATAAATGTACACATAATAAAATAAATAGATATTGATAAAGAAAATAGACCCTACTGTTTAAATAGAAAAATTTTTAGAGATATTCTTATTCTAAGAAGAACGTGTTCCGAAATGACAGAACGCGAGAGAATAGAGTTTTAGTATTTTTATTATAAGTCTGAAAGCAGCTTCTTCAATTGAGTATTCTAGCCAGGCTTCGTTCGATGCTACAACTTGATCTCTCAAGGATATTTTCCGAACGATCATTGACGATGATTTTACGCTGGATAAATTTTTGGACGAATTTTCGTGCCTTTGCCTTTTCTTTCATCTCTCACGTGTCGTCTGGGTCGCTGTTTTTCGGACAAATATGCGCGAATTTGGGAATATTAGGAAGACTAAATGTTCGCTGCGCACAAATTAACTATATTTTTTTATCTTTTTTGTTATATTTGCTCCGATCGAGCAACAATGCAATAATTTCTATCAGAGAACGCAAAAAATTCAATCGAGTTATTCCGTCTTTCGTCATCGTGCTATAGACTCATCCAAGAATTGACACGTGTATCATCATCTGACGTCAGCGTCATCGATCGTCAATGATCGTTTCAACTTAAGATTATCGGCGCAGAAATTGTGTTCTCGCGAATCGTCTTACTTAAGTCCCGCGAAACTTTTACAGAGGAATATCTCGTCGCCGTGTGAAAGAGTGCCGCGCTATCGTAGAAATCGAACCCCCGAGAGAGACGTCGTGTTAGATTGAGACTAATTATTTTTTTTTTGCGGAAGGGCTGAGAGAAAAAAAACAGAGAGATATATAATATATATATATATATATATATATGTAATATGTAGGAGAGAAAATCAGACTCGAGTCCGTTCGATTTCTTCGATGTACTTTCTGCGGCATCCAGGGGGTATTAAATCTTCTCTTCGTTCAGAGAAATGATCATAAGGACAATAATTTACAAGGCCAAGGATTTGTGTGTTACAAGTGCAACGAACTGCCCATATAGAAAAATGGACGAAGTATTATAGCAAAAATCTTTTCCCCCTTCTCTCAATATATATATAATATACACATATATAATAAACATATATATTATATGTGTGTATATATATATATATATCTATCTATATATACTTAAATGTATTTATATATTTATAGTTTTTTTTCTGTTCAGTACGTGTGTGTATGTAGCTATTTATATGTATATATAGACTCTTTCAATCATCTCCTTTTTTTTCTTCATGAAATTCGTACAGTATCTATCACGGCTTCTTCGATCGTCGTTTTGCGAACACTGTCGTCGTCGTAGTCGTCGTCGTATCGAATTTTTCCATATTTAAGGCTCCCAGAAGAGATCGCACGTGGTGATCGTAACATGCTACCTGGCGTGTCGCTTCTGTATACATAATACAACATACAATGCTAATATGCATAAATAATTATGCCGTTTCGAAGCTTATTTTAATCTCTACCATTGCATGATAAAGAAAAAGAAATTAATCTGATATTTGAATCGCCACAATTTTTCCCCTACGATATCTTAATTAAAATAAATTTACATATGATATATGTATAACGTGATGTCGCTCTGATAAACGCACTGGGTGAATGAAAAAACTCGACACTGAAACTCGTTCGCTTAATCTAAAATATGTATAAAGCGCATTATAACATAATAACAATGATGACGGTGATAACAATAATTTGTTCCTTCTCGATAAAAATTGATGATCAAAGACAGAGCGCGGAACTTTCTCGCGGCAACTTTCGAATGCGGGCTTGTAAATAAATTACACGCCGTGTGTAGTAACTTGCAGTAACTTGAGTCGCGAAAATTGACTTGAAACTTTGTTTCAACGAGCACGTAAGGTCAAGGACGACGACTCGTGTGTTACATATTCGACGCTGTCACTCGAAACTGGCGACTGTTCGTGTATTTATTGCAAAGTAGCTGATATAAAAAATCGTAATATCATATTGCGTTTGTATTTTCTCTCTTCATTTTTACCTCCGGATGACAATCTGCCCGGTGAAAATTGCACGATGTGACGTCACGAGATGAGATCACGCTCTCGCTAAGAGAACGTAACTCTATTTTTCTCTCTCAACGTTTTTAAATATTATAAATATCGCTTACTTATATATATTTATATATATATTTTTCTTCACCTTTGCTATATATCTTTCTGTATGATTTCTCTACCGCGTAAAATCAAGTTGAAGAATAAAGATTGAGCGAAAATGATTATTGCCGCAAGTGAAAATTAAGATGTGTATATTTGGTCAGGGCAGATCGCGCGAACAGAGAGAGAACTATATATATATTATTTCTTTTTACAACTATACTCGCTTATTGTTATATGTATATACGCCTGTTTTCTTCTTCTCGCTTCTCTCGCTATTTTCGTTTTCTACAAAACTGTGCGCAATATTTAACGAGCAATCCTTCACCGGATTTCACACCTTTATCTGAGATATAGATTGCTTATTTCACGTACTTAGTATATATTTATGGAAAGCAGCGGTATCACATATGCCCCTATTAAGGACTTAACGCACGAAATTAATTTAATTAACACAATAGAGGCCGACAACAGTTTTCATTCCAGTTCATTCAGTATAGCTCTGTCGATGACTAACGCGGCTTCATAAAGTTTCAATGTTATATATATATTAATTATATATTAATTCCTTCGATACTCATCATCTTTATTTAATATTACCGAATTTTGCATCGCAGATTCGCGCCTGATGATCCTCAAAGATTAACAGGAATTATTATTATCTGTCTTCCGACCTGTCGAAGGTGATATTGCTTCGTTAAATTCTGCCACGCATATTATTAATATCACGGATTAATTGATTAGCAAACTTTCACTCGCGTGTGATCGAAGAGAGTTGCATATAATACGCGTCTTCTTTCTTCTCCCGCTTCTTCTCTCGCGAACCTCGTGTCGTTGTTTCACAGTACATGAAATATTCTATTACTCGCAGTTCGTTGGATCTCGCCGGACATCTCGCGGCGAAGAGATAGAAGTCGCGAAATATATATCGAATGAATCGGCGTTTCGATCAATGAACAACAATCTTTGTTTCTTTTTTTTTTTTTTTTAAGCGATGAGGTGCGGGATCAAAAGCCATTCGGGCTCGCATCGCGCGCGTTTCCATGCTTATTCGTAACAAATTTCACACATCTCTCCATCGTGACGGAGATAAAAGGCAGCTGTAATTGACAAGAGTTTGGTCTTCTCCGAAAAAAAAAAATACTTAAATATTATTTACGTTAGAATTTAATTAATATTTAGATGTTTAATTTTATATATTTAATTTGTATTGTATATATGTAGTGTTTAATTAAATATATAAATATTTAAAATATTTTATGTATATTTAATAATAATATATAAATAATTAAAAAATATTGTATATATTTATATATTTTTAATAATATATAAATATTTAAAATACTTTATATGTTGAATTTAATTAAATATTACATATATAAATTCAATATATAAATATTTAAAATATTTTGCAAATTTTAATATTTCTTGTTTACTCTTTTAGAAAAAAAAATGAGATTCGATTAATCGATACATTTTATCGACTGAAATTTCTCTCAATATTAAAAATATCTGAAAATTATATGAATTGTAAGTTTGACCGATTCTATATATGACAATCGCGTTATATATATTCGATTATGCAAGATTTCGATCGTTCTCTAAATATATCCCGATCATCGAAACGCACGTGAATGACGAGCCCGTATGCCGTGGACCGTACAAATGTGGATGTTGCATTTTCTCACATTTTTGACGAGATTCATATATTGAATTGCAGAAAAATCGAGCATCTTACATAGCGCATAATACGACCCGCGCGATATGATTTTTTAGAGGGAGCGTGAAAAAATCTCAGCTACCCCCTTTCTTTTTTTCAACATGATCAACGCGCGATAGACTTAATCGCTACAGTTTCAACAGTGTTAAACCTTCTTTTTTTTTATCTCTCTGCGTAATAAGTATATAAACTACGATAGAGCCAGCTATATCGTTTCTGTCTCTAAAATCTATTTAACAAAGTCTTCGTAACTGTTCGATAATTCATCTTTCGTAACATGAAATTATATATCTATATTTATTTCCTTGTCTCTTATTATTATATATATATATACACGCATATATATTATATATATGTGTATATGTGTGTGTATGTGTGTATGCATGTGTGGATATATATGTGTTTATTAACATATGTGTATATTTCTGCATTGCATCTATACTTTCGATTTGATCAAATGTTTTTTTTTTTTGTGATGAGAATTTGCGCCTTTGCTCTTCGCATGGTCATTTGAGAATAGAATAATACTGACTCTCTTATCGCACTGTATATACAAAACGAAAAATAGAAATTAAATAAAAAAATTAATTAAAAGGTAAAGAGTAAGACACTTGGTGTGACACTTATATCGATATGAAATTATAATCGTTTCTTTTTTCCTAATTCTTGCAACGAAGCTCCAAATTGCGGATAATTCGGAGGTTTGATATATAAGCTTAAAAAGACATTGTATGATTGTCGGCTCTTTCAATTATTATTAGCAAAGACGCCATTCTCGTTTGCATGCAGTAACAGCAGCAGCAGCGCGTTTTCATCACGTTTGTATGGCCCATAATTAAATGCAAATATATATACATGTCATATTACAAGATATATACATCTAATATTGCTGTTTGGCTTCATATGTGTATGTCATACGAATTTGCGTAGCGCCATTTCTGTGTAACAGTACTATTTGCGCATGAGAAATTGTTTTTCTCGTTATTCATTCAACGTTTTCGGTTTCAGTTTGACGAGCGCATTTTCACAAATCATTCCTTTCTCGTAGCTATTCGTAATTTCGCTCGTCACGTTAAACGCGAAAATATTAAATCGACACACAAATCATAATTTAAGTAACAAAGTAATATAAAATATTATCATAAATATTAATAGAAATATATCTTTGTTGACAATTTACGATTTCAATACGCGGGAATATACGTTGTAGAAAATAATACTCCAAAATCTTGCACTAAAAAAATATAACAGATTATCCAACTTTAAGGGAAATCAAACTGATTCGTTTTCAAACGAGAGACCTAAGTCAGGTATTTGCAATACCTCCCGCTCGTGTTCTATCTTGGATAGAACGAGAACGAGACGATTACATTTGCAATTCCATCGATTGGTTTGTCGAGTACGACAACACGATAATTTGATTTGACTTGTGTTTCGCTAGCTCTAATTATCCATTCCAGCAAAATAGTCTCATTTAACGCACTCAAAGTAAACAGAAAGAAAAGCAAACATTTGGTATTTAAAAGAAATCGCAGAGCTCACAACCAAGATAAATTCCTTGAAGTCGGTGGTGGCATCCAAATTACGTGTCGAAAGCAACTGAAAATCTATTAGCCTTCAGAGTTATTGTTACTGTAGTATTTTCGATGTCTTGGAAAGTCTACAAGATGACATCTGCTGAGAGTTAGTTGACCGATTGGACACCACCATCATATTCACCGTCCCAATAATTACAAAACGGCGTGCCTCATCGAGAGACACTGATTTAGTGAACCGATCGTGGTCGAAGAAGCTTAGAAATTTAGCGTGATCGCCATGAAAGAGAGAAAGAGAGAGAGAGAGAGAGAGATGCTACTGCGAAGTTTGCTACGCGATGCGTGTGAATCTACGTCTATCTACGTGTGCGTATGTATGTGTAAATGTGTTGTGTGTGTATATGTGATACATAGTGAATTTAATATATATTTATATATAACTCTCTCTCAAGAGAGTTTCGATGTCTCGAAAAAATCGTAAGCGAATAATTTCGTATTTAAGACTGCACTGATTTATTTATCATTTAATAACATTACCGCTTTTGGCAGAATGCAGAATTACGCACTTTTTTATTTCGCTCGAGACGAAACCATTGTATTTTCATTCTCTTTCTCTCCGCCCGGAAAAGCGATTAGCGCGAAAATACGGAGCTCTTTTCTCTCATCAAATATGCAATTATGTATATATATATTAGCAGATGTTACCTTGATGAACGTATAATTATCGACACGTTGTACTCTGCCTCGCCTACTCGGCGAAAAAAAGAGGCAGACATAGTCAATTTATTCACGATATTTCGGTCCCGCAGAGATCATCAGACACGCCGGGTGATCGTCAGCTTCCGAACGATCTTCCAAGCCGAAACGATGATCCGCCGCTCTTGACATGTCATCTCGCACTTGTACATGCGAACGAAAGAGTAACGAAACTGCAGCAACTGTTGTTCGATGTAGCACTTGGCTTTAGAATAAGATAATCGCGTGACGCACGATTAAATGCTAAATGAACAAGCGTATCGAACGAGGATGAACCTTCGATGACCGCGTCGCGGCGGACTGTCTCGAAAAAAAGACGAAAAAGAGGGCTGATGCGACGCGAGAAGAACTTTCACAAATACTCCCTCGGCCTGGGCGGCGGCCTCTTACGCTCGGACCTCTCGGCGCTCCTCTCAGTCGGCCCCGCCGCGCTCGAGTCCCGGTCGTCGGTGCACTCGAGCATTTGCGTCGTCTCCGAGACCTCCGTCGGGCTCATCGGCTGCGTGGCGAGGGGCGCGAGTGGCGCCGCGCCCTTATTCCGCGACTTGTTGCGTCGCTTTCGCAGGATCAGCGACCCCAGGGCGTTGGAGTCGTCGCCGCGCGACGTGGAGGCCTGCGCCAGCCGCTCCAGCAGCTCCTTGTTGACGTCCCGCGACGACGACGACTGATGGTGATGGTGATGATGATGGTGATGCTCCTGGCCGCTCTTGGATATGCGCTCCGTCGCCGTGGACTGCTCCCGATAGCCCTCGCTCGGCGTCGTCGACGTGGACGTGGTGGCGATCGACGGCTGGGTCTGGGTCGCGGACTGGACCAGCGTCACCGCGCTCGGGGTAGCCGGCGGTTGCTGAATCTGGACAAAGCTCCCGGAGATCTTCGGAGGTTGTTGAGAAGAGGCGCTGCCGGACGTCGGGGTTCCCGAGGTGGGTAACCGGTTCACCAGCGCCTGCAGCATGTCCTCGATCTTCGCCAGGCGTTGGTTCACTCTCTGCACCTCCAACTTCAGGTCCACCTTCACTTCCAGCACCGCGGCGAGGATCTCCCGCTCGTGGCTCGGCTGATGCGTGATCAGACCACCGTCGTAGCTCTCCAGTCGTCGCAGCTGCAGCTGCTTCGAGTCCACGGCGAGAGTCTGTTGCGGTTGTTGTTGCTGTTGTTGTTGCAGTGTCTGTTGCTGAGCGTCCTTATTTTCAACGCTATCGCCGGCCTCCTCGATCGTCCCGCTCAATTTGCCAAGCTTTGGGAAGACTTTGTTGGTCGCGCTGGAACTTGGACGCGGGTCCCTCGCGCTGAGGGACCGCTTGAATGTGTCACCGGCCGTGCCCGATTCGCTGCCGGTGTCTAAACTCGAGCTGCCTGCAACGTTAGATATTTTTTCTGCGGACTTGAATCTGGAAAAGCTATCCCTAATAGCAGATATATCCTAAAGACGTTCAGAGAATATATATCCTGAAGATACGTTGTGCTATTAAGGATTAATAAATATTATACATATCAAATAAATCTTGTCCCAGGTAACGAGCATCCCAGCAAACAGTATATAAATGTTATATGCATGTAAGTATTCAACCCAGCAAACACCGATATATAATTGTTACATTGCTATAATAAAACGGAATGTAACAGGTAATATAACGTGTACGTTACATGTAACATCCATGTTAGTTGTAATTTCCCACTCATAGATGTAACATTTTAATATAACATATATTACATTGTAGTTATATTGTAATTATATACCAAATAGCACATTAATATATTGATAAGTCAGTGCTATCTTGGGATATAATGACAATATAACTACAATGTAATATATGTAATATTAAAAATGTTACATCTATGAGTGGGAAATTACAACTAACATATACGTTACATGTAACATGCTTAAGTATATAACATTTATATACTGTGTTTGCTGAGATGTTTGCTGAGATACGTCATTTTGACGTCGAGTGACGTCAGTAAACGTCACTTTGACATCTAGTGACGTCAGTTGCTACTTGCGGTGGAGAAACAAATTCACGTAGATTTGTATTTGACAGTTGCTAAAGGTGAACCGAACTGAAAAATATTTGAACAAGAAGGAAAAATAATTTGTTCAACTTCCTTAATAGCGAATAATTATTGCGCAATTTTTCTTCATGAAAATATTCATACAAACCGCGTGGCTCGACGATCGAATTAATCGTACGTAATTAAGATTGATACAGGGCTGATTTCTCTCACCTAACAAACGGCCCCATTTGCCCGGCCGCGTTTTCACAACGGTTGTCCCACCTTCCTCGGCAACGGATGGCTTCTTGGGGTGCGACGTCTCGCCATCCTTGGCGTCCTTGCTGTCGCCCCTTTCCACATCGGCAGTGTGTTGTTTATCTCGGCGAAATCTACACGGAGAGTAATCGAAAAAGATTCGCCTTTATTTTCCCAGCTACAAGAAACACTTCAATACGCAGAACGTATTTACAAATACGAAGGAGAAGATACAGTAAGAAAAGGCTTGTTATATATTATATCCTTAGATATTTGGGCCAGGGCAGCAAGAGGTACAAATGCATATATAGAGGGTCGAAAGTGTGGCAAAGGGGTGCACAAAAGATTTTCCATTTTCACGTAAAAAACCTGATTAAATCGTCTATCGTTGTTTTCCTCTCTCTGTTTTTCTCTTCTTCCATCGTTATTCGTCACGTTTCGTTTTTCCCTTCTCGATCCGCGATTAAATCTACGGTGCAGTCTCGAAGACTAGATCGATGGATTGTCAAAGCTACTCGGAGGGAGGAAGGGATTATCATCGCAGATCGTCTACGTTCTATCGACGATTAGAAAAAGGAAGGCGACTCCGGTTACTGGTTACTGATGGTCCTACTGGAGCGACCTACATTAGTGTCTTGTCTACGACTTGTCTACGCGATCCATGGACGACGTTTGACAAGAACGTTAAGAAAAACGGAGAACGTTGGTGAACGCCGAGAATGGTGGGATGATTTTGCTCAATTTGTTAGCGTGGACAATTTTTCGACAAGGATCCATATGTATAAAATTGCTGAAAATTATTATTAAATTAATTTATAATAAAAAGATGCAAAACAATTTTTGAGATGCAAGAAGATGCGTATATAACAAATTGCTGAAAAGAATTATTAAATTAATTTTATAATAAAAAAAAAGCAAAAATTTTTTTGACAATAATACATAAATAATATATAAAATATATAATATATATAAAAAATTGCTGAAAAGAATTATTAAATTAATTTTATAATAAAAAATAACAAAGAATTTTTTGACAATATATATAATTGCTGGAAATATTATTAAATTTTTATAAAGCTGAATCACTGTTATATAAATTGTTGAACTTGGTGATAATTTTTCCCGAAGAAAACAAATGTAAGAGGATAGAGAGAAAATATAGACATTCTTAAAAATAACTGAACGGTTGTAGTAATCAAGACACGTTCTTGTATTATACCTATAGCCATAACGTTCGAATCACCGGAGCTTAAACTGCTCGAGCTGAAATTATACAGGCCCCTCACGCACCGAAACTTTTAATTCGCCTGAAATCGTCCCGGGATTACGATCCCGTAATCTTGAGAAATCTTAAAAAGTTTTCGATAAATCTTATACTTTTTGCGAGTTTATCATTGATCCGTAACTAACAGCGAGGACCGTAATTCATTTCACTTTACGGACCAGATTTTAAAAAAACAAGCACGACGATGCTGGTAAAAATTGAGAGTACGGATGTTTTTCATAAATAAATTGCTCATTTGCTATAAATATTGAAAAAATACAGGGCAATATTTTACGTAACATAATAAATCTCTCTATACTTATAATACTTAATTATAGTTATAATAATAATTTTTAACAGCTCCATTCGTTTTTCTAAATAAAAAAGAAGAGTTGTACAAAGTCAATTAACATATAGATAAATTAATTTAATAAAAATATATTCGACGTAATATAAATAACTGATAAATAATACATGAAAAAAGTGATGTAAAAATTGGATTCTCCTCTGAAAGAGGATATCACGCCACCGATCAGCGTCGACCAACGTTTTGATGTGATATTTTTTGAACTAACGACAGAGAGTCGGGAGATGAGAAATTGCCCGACAAACTTTGGGAATGCCACACTGACGAACATATTAAACGTGACGAATAGTTGCGTTAATTATTGGCGTTATGTCTTTGTCAAGCGTGGTTCGCGCAAGTAGCGAGGAAAATGTTTTATCAAAATCACATTATTATTATGTGCATCAAAGCACGCCCGTCCTTGCGGAAAATTGATCGTAGATCGATTTAATTACCATTTTCATTACCCTACTTCAAAGTTACTATTAAATTTTGTAATTAGCAGTACATAATTCGTTATTGTATACTATGTTGCGATATAATACAAATAATTGGAAAATGCTAAAATCCCTTTAAATTTCACAAAAAATAATTAATTCTATATAAGAATTAAGCGTCATTTCATGACGTCAAAACTCGACTTTTCCATGCATGTAAAGTAAGTATACGTATTATCTATCATTAAAACGGTAAAAATGCCTTCGGGCTGGTTGCGATAATAATTACAAAAAAGACTAATATAAAATTAGCGAGTGTAATTAATTATTTATGCTACAGAGAAAAGTATAATATATAAGGCTATCAAGATTCGAGAAACAATATAATTATTAGCAGTGAAAGCACGTTGTGTGCGTGCGAAAGTCAGGCAGTTGAGAATGCAAGAGTCATAAAATCTTTGATAAAGATATTGAGAGGACAGAAAAATAGGCAAAAGACTGTATAAATCGCAAACGTAGCGTAATGTTCGCTCTTTTAGGTTCCTCTCTGGCATTCCGGTAGTTTCTCGGGCAGAACATATGCATGACAATAATTTTTTCGTATATACATATACGTACTAAAAATACTCAAATTATATATATATATATATATATATATATATATATATATATATAATATATATATATATATATATATATTATATATATATTTTTACATATATATTATATAATACATATATTTGATATATAAATAATGCAATTATATATATTATACATATATAATTTTACAGATATATATTATATATATAAAAGACAAAAAAGTTTGAATCCTAGTGTGTGCATCCGTCGCATGCACTTTGCTTTGCATATGAATCGAAGATGCTCATTTAAACACGTCAGGATTTTGGCAGTTTCTCACCCCCGATGTCAGAGTATCGCGAGTATTTATTCATTTAATTAACATAACTAATGATTACACTCGTAATTTTCGATTCAAATATGTGTTCATTATCGAAAAAAATCACGTTATTTATTATACATGTTGTTACAGAGCAAAATACGACTACAATAAATCTCGTTCTAGCATTGAATTATGAAAGCTGGCGAATAAAATTGCGAAGCTGTATATTCAGGACAGGTGAAAAGCTTCGAAATCCTGTGCAGTTTTGCTCTATACATAACTTGGATTTTTAATTATATAGAAAATATATATATATATATATATATATATGGATGTAAAAAAAGAGATAGGCATAGCCTTGTAAAGCCGTATATCTTACAGCACTCTAGCATTCATTAGAAACTGCAATATGATTGTTATAAAATAATGATGATACAAGATCGCAAATAAAGTGTACATTTTATTTGAAAATATTGCTCAAAGGACCAACAAATTTTCAAGATTCTTGCAGTGTAATCTTTGTAAAATACAGTACCTATCTTTATATATCTCGGCAAGAAAGACTTTGAATAACTCGAGCAAGAACTGTCCAATAAATTTCATGTATTATCCAATAAATTGTATATATTGTTAAGTAAATTTTTCAAGTCCATTTCATCTTAGTAGCTCAATAAATATTTCCGATATTATGAAAATAAATAAATAAATAAAATTTGAATTTTAACAATAAGTTTCAGGTCCATTATTTACCAAATTTTCATATATATATATATATATATATATATATATATATATATATATATTATTGCAAGGTAAAAGAGAATTGTAATTTGAACAAGTTTGAAATATTAAAGAATGCTTTAAATAAATGTTCTCTGGATGAGAGATGAACCTGGACATCCTCGATGGCAGAGGAATTTCGCGGCGGTCGATCGGCCGCCAGTTTCGATTTGCTCGTGTCTCGACGTGCGATGAAAATTTATCGTTGTTCACATTCAAGCGTGTGTTACAGCAAGTGCACGTACGTGATACGTTCCGGCTGGCACATTATAGGACGCAAATTACGGTATTCGCCGAATAAAGGTGGGAAAAGCGTCCGAGTGTGTATATTATGTGTGTGTGTGTGTGTGTGTGTACAGAGTGCTCTCGAATGACAATGACAAATTTCAGCTCAAAGGAATCTCCGATTAATCTGGGAGAGATCGATTCTTCCTCCGCTTCCTTTCAAAGTCAAAAGTTTATCTGGTTTTTTCTGATTTTTACTCCATCTTGAAAGTTCCGTCGTTGAATATCTCGATTAAGTTAAGCGTTGAGTTAAAAATTTCATCAAAGTAAGAATCCAGCTGAAATTAAAGATAAACGTAAAAGTCGTTCGGTTAAAATCGTTTATGAATCAAATATTTGATTTGACCAGGAAAAAATCGACTCTATATCGTCGAGATCGAAGATTAAATCGAGCAAAGTTTGTCAGTGTTATTAACGGAGATTATTTTCTGCCACGCGTTTTCTATGTTTTAAAAGGAAGGCAAAACACAGTTTTTAATCCATCATTTGCTTAATCACATTATTGAAATTAAAAAAGTTTTATGTACAGAGTTTCAATTCAAATATACCCAGCAAACACCGATATATAATTGTTACATTGCTATAATAAAACGGAATATAACAGGTAATATAACGTGTACGTTACATGTAACATCCATGTTAATTGTAATTTCCCATTCATAGATGTAACATTTTAATATAACATATATTACATTGTAGTTATATTGTAATTATATACCAAATAGCACATTGATGTATTGATAAGTCAATGCTATCTTGGAATATAATGACAATATAACTACAATGTAATATATGTAATATTAAAAATGTTACATCTATGAGTGGGAAATTACAACTAACATATACGTTACATGTAACATGCTTAAGTATATAACATTTACAATATTGCTTAAGTATATAACATATATAATATATAACATATATTATTATTATACTGTGTTTGCTGGGTAAGCTCTTTGTTAAAGGAATTTATCTCATATGCATATTTTAATAAAATTATATTTTATATTAAAGTTCTCTTCGAACATTCGCTTAAATATATTTTTTTTTAAATAAAATTATTATCTTTTCTCCTTCTCGCGTTCAATCATTATGTTCTTTAAAGCTGACCCAGCAAACACAGTATATAAATGTTATATACTTAAGCATGTTACATGTAACGTATATGTTAGTTGTAATTTCCCACTCATAGATGTAACATTTTTAATATTACATTATTGTAGTTATATTGTCATTATATCCCAAGATAGCACTGACTTATCAATACATCAATGTACTATTTGGTATATAATTACAATATAACTACAATGTAACATGTTATATTAAAATGTTACATCTATGAGTGGGAAATTACAACTAACATGAATGTTACATGTAACGTACACGTTATATTACCTGTTATATTCCGTTTTATTATAGCAATGTAACAATTATATATCGGTGTTTGCTGGAGACAAACACCATCAATTTTGTGATAGAAATAAAAAAAAAAGACTCAAGACTCGAAACGTCAAAATGCAAATGTGGGATTAACTTGCGAAAGGAGGAGAAAAAAGGGGAACATCACCAGGTATCACGTGCGCGCGCTGCTCGTGATATACAATATATATCCGTGAATATTACATATATATACACATGTACACACGAATATCGAAAACAGGTATTATATGTAATACACAGTATAATATTCATCATATACATATACGCAGTGGATTATTAATAAAAAACTGCCACGATCACAATATAATAATATAGGGCAATCATAATATATAGTAATAAATATATAGATATATAAAAATATTCAACGAGAGATAATAAAGAATATAATAATAATAACAATAATAATAATAATAATGAGATAATAGTAATAATAATATGTTAACGAGATAATAATAAGAGATTGTGTATAAAGTAGCGAGGCAAAAAAGAGAAGAAATTGAAGAAGAAATAAATATGAATAAGAAAAATGAAATTGCCTAAAACTCGGCCAGGGCGGCAGGACGTTGACGGTGAGCTCCTCGTCGGAATCCTGCTGGGACCGTCCGCTCACGGTCCTGGTCACGCCGATCTGGCCCTCTCCTTCGCTCTTGAACCTTTTGCGGAAACAACAGGCCAGCCAAGCAACACGATCACATTCAGCGACAGCCAGCCAGGAAAATATAAAGAACGTCCGCGATCAATTCTTTGCACACATCTTATTTCGGCACATCTCTCTCTTTCTCTCCCACCCAGGTCGCAAGCTGACGTCATTCGACGTCAAAATGACGTCATTTTGACATTTAATAGAACGCCAGCTTACTACCTGGACACTCTCTCATTCTTTTTTCTCTTTTTCTCTCTCTTGCTCGCTTTTCCTTTCCTTTCTCACTCTCTTCTTCTCTTTCTTCCACATCATACAGGATGTGACGCGTACAAAGATACAAAAGAAAAACTAAAGTAATCCGTCAGCAGCGCTATACTTCCGGTTCACTTTAAGTTTGTTTAGAAAAAAAATGTAATCATTACTGAGCTTATTTTCGCCAATTATTTTTATTTCTGTTAATTGGTAATTTTTGATATGCGTTTTATCTGGTATACAAATATGCTGTGATTTAGTATATAAAATTTTTTCAACGGTTATAATTATTTTATTTTTTCGTGGCGAAAAAAATTTGTGTAGAGATAAAAATTATTAGAATAAATAAAATTATAAAAAAGATTGCGCTGTAATTTATGGAAGCTCGTATATCGTTGTACGCGTGAGAGATATTATGAATTATTATACAGAAATTAATATAATGTCGTAAAATTAACACTTATATCTAGACATCGTGTAGATGAAGAATAAATTTTGAATGCAAAATTAAATAAACTCTTTCGCATGCTTCGATATATATAATTAGCTGCAAAACAGAGATCGAAGCATATAAATAATATATACTTTCGAACGGTTTTATCATCGGTGGCAACCGGAAGTCGTCGTCAACTACAGAGGCTAATGCTTGCAACAACAACAACAACTGTAATTTTTGTAGCAGTAATCCATTCTACGAAGTCGAAATATATTTGTGTAATTCTCGAAATCAAAGATTGCGTTCTCGTTTAAATTATTAAACATTGTTTTTATTCCGCGCGCAGCAGAATTCTTCTACATCCTTCGATATTTTCCGAATCGAACACAATTTCTCAGAATGGATTCCTTTTATTTCGTCCCAGGACTTGTTACTGGCATCGAGCCCGATTGCATTCGATTGTATCCGGCTGTAACTAATAGCTGCTTTGGCAAAATGTTTTCCTACCTCGAGAAGATCTTGCGAACTAGATGATCTTGCGCCTGATCCAACTGCGGCTCGTTCTTCCTCCTCTCGGCCAATTCCTTTTCTCGACGAACATCGGCGACCTTCCGAAAGATCAGCTGCACATAGAAATTAATTTTGTTAATAAAAATAATTGTACATATATATATATATAAAAAAAGTAATTATCAAATATCATTTAAGCTAATATTTGCACATAATTTAACTATAAAAATTATTTTTATTTTATATATTTAAATTTATATATACTATATATATATTTTTTTAAATTTCTTTTTATATTTGTATGATTTTTATTTAATTATAAAATTTTATTTAAAAATAAAAATAATTATTAAATAATTATAAGTTAAATAAAAATTGAAAAATATAAGAATATAAGAAACGAGAAATAAGATTTGATAATAATTATTATCATTATAAACTATTTTAATAAATGCAATTATATAAACATATATATGTCACATATAAAAAAATCATATATATAATTAACTATTATGTAATAAATAAATTATTATATTCCTATATAATATATATTTTATATAATTATTCATAAAATTTTTCTCCAGCTACTTCTGTAATCAATATAAAATTTCTTGTTTTTCTGTAACAAATACGAAAAGTTTATCCAATATTTATAAAATATATATATTATAAGTACACTTCATATTATTTAACAACTTTTTAATACTCTGCATAACTTTAGTAATTTTCTTCCCTTGTAGAGAGCAGAAAGAATTTTTTATTTAAACGATACTTAACAGCCAAGCGTTTTCGAGCTAACGCGAAAATTGCGTGGAAACAGCCGGAGCGGCTGCGTTTCGGCTTCGTCGCATTATACACGTGCGTCGTCATCTCGAATGCGCTCTGTGCATAGGGTCATCTCGCCTGATCACAACTCCCTTGAAAATTGCACGACGTGAGCGCAATTCGCGCGTCTATTCCCTTTGAGCCGGAAACCGCGCAATTATGCGCCCACCAGGCCCTTCGTGCACCGACCCTTTTCGTCGCATATTATCCGACCAAAACGTTTGCGTGAATTATTCCTCGACAAGCCTCAAGAAATTTCACCCTTGCGTTCTTCAATCCTACACGGAAATTCAGGCGAGGATCGAAAAAAATGCATAAAATATATATATGTGACGCAGACAGTGACGTAACGGATGAAACGGCTCTGCTTCCGGTTCTCGTAAAAAATATCTTCATTTATATATATTTATTATTTTTAAATTTTATATATAAATAAAATACAATAAAATATTCCTATTTATACTTTATATTCAATTTTCTACTTATGGATATTTATTTATTATAATATTTTATATATAAAATATTATATATTATTTAGATATAAAATATATGTATAATATATTTTATAACATTATATATATTATATTATGTATCATAATATTATACATAAATATTTCCTGCTCATTTCTCATTATTTAAATTACAATATATAATTATTTTCTACATACTGTTATTATCGAATTAAAATTTATGCAATTGCAACCTTGCTTTACTTCTTCGCTTCGTTAATTTGCATCAAAATTTAGATTATATTATTTGCATATTCTCTTTTCTCTCCCTCTCGCTCCCACTCTCTTTCCGCTGCATTTCCCATTACGTCACTGCTGCACAAGCCTTTTTATATATTCCACGATTATCCGAACGTGAAAAAAGCCGGGACGAGATGTTCCGATAAGCCTCGGGCGCTTTTCACCGTCGATTTTCTCGTGCGCGCGCGACGAGTCGACGGTGGAGGATGCACCGACGTGCATAGACACGGTGCATTCGTGCGCCGTGTGTGTGAAGTTGCGAAGGTCAGTGGCGCAGGCGTGATGACAGAAGTCGATAGATGTTGACGCGGCGCTCAGCTGCGCATAACCTCGAGGATCCGAGTCGTTCGCGGCGACGACGACGACGTGGACGACGTGGACGACGACGTGACGTAACGTGACGTCGCGGCGTTACGTGACGGGCCGCCGTCACGTGCGGGACGAGCCGTGAAACAGCGGGGCCGGCAGAGATCTCTCCCGTCCGCAGGACGAGGGTGAAGGTATATGGACTGTCAAGGAAGGAGGCTGCTCGTTCGTACGAAAGGTGCGTAGACGCTAGGTGCCTTGGCTTAATCTTAAGACACTCGAGGACAGAGTGATACGTCGTGAAAAAGCTCGCTCGGGGACTCTTCTCGCGAGTCCAAAAGCCTAGAGAGAAATGCACCTAGAGTATCTGAGCTGCGATGAGTCTGAAACATGTGTAGAGGAGAGTCAGAGACGTTAAAGATTTTTAGTGCTTAATTTCTGTGTAATGCAGGATTTCAAGGGGCTATTTTTGCAATTTGTGATGGTAAATTAATGTTACTAGATGTAGTATGTGGGATAATTGTTGTACGTAAAGAGAGAAACAGGGGTGCGCAGCTGATATAATTTTGTGCAAGTATGCAGTATTAGTCTACATTTATTTAAGAACCATTATATGTTGTGCTGAGAAAGATGAGACTCGTAAAAGACTCACTGAAGATTTTTGTTGCCTATTTTCTGTGTAATGCAGGATTTCAAGGGGCTACTTTTACACTTTGCGATGGTAAATTAATGTTACTAGATGTAGTATGTGGGATAATTGTTGTACATAAAGAGAGAAACAGGGGTGCGCAGCTAATATAATTTTGTCCAAGTATGCAGTATTAGTCTACATTTATTTAAGAACCATTATATGTTGTGCTGAGAAAGATGAGACTCGTAAAAGACTCACTGAAGAATTTTGTTGCCTATTTTCTGCGTAATGCAGGATTTCAAGGGACTACTTTTACACTTTGCGATGGTAAATTAATGTTACTAGATGTAGTATGTGGGATAATTGTACGTAAAGAGAGAAACAGGGGTGCGCAGCTGATATAATTTTGTCCAAGTATGCAATATTAGTCTACATTTATTTAAGAACCATTATATGTTGTGCTTAGAAAGATGAGACTCGTAAAAGACTCACTGAAGATTTTTGTTGCCTATTTTCTGCGTAATGCAGGATTTCAAGGGGCTATTTTTGCAATTTGCGATGGCAAAATTAATGTTACTAGATGTAGTATGTGGGATAATTGTTGTACGTAAAGAGAGAAACAGGGGTGCGCAGCTGATATAATTTTGTCCAAGTATGCAGTATTAGTCTACATTTATTTAAGAACCATTATATGTTGTGCTGAGAAAGATGAGACTCGTAAAAGACTCACTGAAGATTTTTGTTGCCTATTTTCTGCGTAATGCAGGATTTCAAGGGGCTACTTTTACACTTTGCGATGGTAAATTAATGTTACTAGATGTAGTATGTGGGATAATTGTTGTACGTAAAGAGAGAAACAGGGGTGCGCAGCTGATATAATTTTGTCCAAGTATGCAGTATTAGTCTACATTTATTTAAGAACCATTATATGTTGCGCTTAGAAAGATGAGACTCACTGAAGATTTTTGTTGTGTATTTTCTGCGTAATATGGGATTTCAAGGGACTATTTTGTATATTTTACACTTTGGGATGGCAAATTAATGTTACTAGATGTAGCATGTGAGATAATTGTTGCACGTAAAGAGAAAACAGGTGTACGCAGCGGTGGTCTATATTTAAGAATTATTATGTTGTGATTAGAAAGATGAGACTGATAAAAGAGTGATTTTTGTAACGAATGATTAATGTTACTCTATACGATTGTTTCAGATGGGTCATGGATCGAGTCGTTCCGCTTCGTCAGTGAATATCCTTTCTGCAGAGGAGTTGACACTAGTAGAGAACCTGTTTAAGTCCATGTCCCGGAGCTCGGGTTCCATCAAACGCGAGGACATATTCAAGCACTGGTCGAGCCACCTGGACGATGTGCTGCTTCAATTTGTGGTACGGTTCCTCTGCCACGAACCTGGCAAAAAGGTTTCTGCCGTCAACGGCGAAAACTTCGGCAGACTCTACGTTTTCGCCGTACGTGGCAACCCTGAAGAACGCACCAATCTGATCTTCGACGGTTTCTCGGAGGAGGAGCAAAAGTACGAGATGCCCACCACTACGTTCCTTCAGTACATTCAAGCAACGATCAACTCTTACTTGCGACTGCAAAAGAACTCGGGTAACACGCATCATCTGACCTGGAGCAGCATCGGCTGCACCGTCAACACCAGACGTATAGGGATGCGTTCGCGCTGTCTCTGCGAGGATCTCGTGAAATACGGGGACGTGTTGACCGTCGATCAGGTGGAGAATTGGTTTGTGAGCGCGGCCACGTTCAAGAATATTCAGTCGCACGTTTTTCAATACCTCTATCTAATCTCTCAGAAGAAAGGTAGCGATAAGAACACGAACGCGCGGATAAACGACCTGAATCTTCTGCCGCTTTGCAAGGGTTTGGAGAACATTCCGCACTTTCCAAGTATCCTAGGCTTAGGAGACGTTCTGTTCCTGAATCTGAGCTTGCCGCACGAGCTCCGCAACGAATGGCGATTTTTGTTCTCGAGCCAGGTGCACGGTGAGTCGTTCTCCACAATGCTGGGCAGGATCGTGATGCAGGGCGCAACGATAATCATACTCCAGGACGCGGACGACCACGTGTTCGGCGGTTTCGCCTCCGACAGCTGGAGGCTGGGACCGAACTTCATCGGGAACCAAACGTCATTCCTGTTCAAGCTCGACCCGGAAATACTGACGTTCTCGTCGACGAATTACAACAATCACTATCAGTATCTCAATCTCCATCAGCAAACGATGCCCAACGGCCTGCTCATGGGGGGGCAGCTCAACTATCCCGGCCTCTGGTTGGACTGCGAATACGGTACCGGCAGATCGAGCTTGTCGTGCACCACCTTCCAGAATTATGTACAACTTAGCGGTAAGGAAGATTTTAAAATCAAACACTGCGAGGTGTGGGGCGTCGGCCCGATGCCGGACGTCGAAGAGGACGTGCGCGAGGCGAAATCGGTGCTGGATCAAGACCCGACGTCGAAAGTCATGCTAGAACTGTCCGGTCATAAGTTACATAGCGAGGGGTTGCGTGAATTACAAGAGTAATTGTGATACAAAATTTAGGAGATTTTTATGGAAGCCCGAGAGCGGGACGAAAGAGAGAAACGCCAATGTTGTAAAGATATTACAGATATTTAAGATTGTTCGAACTTGATTTAATTCGAATAAAATATATGTAAAATTTGTTATTGATTCTTGACAATTGTAACGGGATATTTACGGGTATGAGAGAAATATGTATAAAATCTTAATAGAGTTTACAACAATAACTGGTTATAGAGTATAAAAGAAAGAAAGAAAGAGAGAATGCTCCCGTCCCAAGTGGCAAGCTGACGTCATGAAACGTCAAAATGACGTACGCTTGCTATTTGGAATTTTACACAATCTTTCAAGTGAGATGAAATTCGTGTGATAACGCTGCGAGAGGCAATTAATAAAGAGCACATTAAATGTGAAAAAACGAATTAACATTACGAAAATCACCGCGAAGTTCCGTCTGTCTGTCTGTATGTATGTATATATGCGCGAATGCGACATCTTCATGTACATTTTTTACAGACTTATGTATATGTGTACGAGATTATTTATTTGTATAATTCTTTATCTAACTCTACATTATACATATGTATATATTAGGACTTTTGTCCCTTTTTAATAACGGCCTGATATGTCTCTCGAGTTGTCTCTCTTTTGGTCGTTCGATTTATTACTTATTGTGCAATTTTATCACATATCGTCTCTATGTACCTTTTTTTATTACACTATGATATTAAAGAATATCATCATGCCAATCGTTGCGTGGCCTGAATGCCTATTGTATAGTGCCTGACGAGTCGTTATGATTGTTAATTTGATCGTTTTCTCTGCGTATGTTGATTATTCGTAAACGAATAACCGTGTGCCATGCAAATTGCTCTTGTTAACTAAGACTGTATAATCCTGTCGTCATGTATAAGGAACATAAAAAATGCAATCACACCGATTGTTTACCAGCTGTAAGCTGGTCGTCGAAGGACATCACATCAGCATTACTGTATAGGTTCTATTCAAACTTCAATAAACAATCAAACTCGACATCTCTTTACGATTCAATCGCATTCCTTTCCGATCGACGTTACGCAAACAAGCGCGATACAGTAAAATAAGACTCACCCGGTGACTCAGGTTGTAAGTCAGGATCAGATTCCTGGCGAAGGAGTTGGCGAAGGCCTGGTAAAAGTCCAACACCTCCAACAGCCGGTCCCGCTTGATCGTGTGCAGATCGCAGTAGGTCAAAGCCCGGACGTTCGCCGCGCTCTGACCGATCGACGGATTCGTCCAGAAACTGTCGCCGAAGACGTCGCCTTTCCCCAGAATCGCCACCACCTCGTCGTCCTGGATGACCTCGAGGCTGCCGGTCACGATGAAGCAGAGGGAATCGATGGACTCCCCCGTGTGATATAGCAGATCCCCGGGCGCGCTGTGAGACATGGTGAAGTGCATCGCCAGAGCGCGCAGACACCCGTCAGACGCTAATCTAGATGTCAAATATAGTGATTTAGTATATGGATTTAATTAAGAGAACGTTTCAAGTATTTTCCTAGTCCAATTCACCTGAAGGCAGGATGCTCGTTGAAGACCTTCCGATTGAGATGCACGCAGATGTCGGCCTTCATGTCCTTGGGGCAGTAGTTGAGAACCTTGTCCGTATCCAGACCCTTTGTCATCGCCCACGTGCTGACGACATAATCCATGACGCGTTCGCTTAAGGCCTTAGGCACCTCGTGCAGCTTCATGAATTCCCTCACGTTGTTCAACATGTCGTGATACTTGGCGGTGGCGGACGTCATTTGCTGGATGATGGTGGTGACGTGACCGAAGATCGTGGCGTACAATAAGGCTGGTCGAGGAAGAGAAAGAAAGAGAGAGAGAGAGAAAGGGAGAAAAAGAAAAACAACGAATTTCAAAACTCTTTAGCTTCCGAAACTTCTTCCTTCGTCTTTTTAACTTAATATCACAAAGCAGTATACAGGGTGTCCTAAAATTAATAATAAACCTGTTAATGGCAGAGACGATTTTTCCTCAGCGAAAATGTCGAGGGACGCCATCATTTTTTGCATGTTCCCACAATTTTTGCCATCATGTATCTTTATAATTAATTGTAGACCTTAAATTAAAATTCTATTAAAGTAAACTCAACATGAAATTAATAAAAAAATGTAATTTTATTAATATTTTATTTTCAATCGCTTATAATTCGAAAATTATTGATGTCTCGACATTTTCGTCGAGAAAAAATTGTCTCCACCAAATCATCCCAGGAATCTACTATTAACAAATATGCTACTAGTTCTGGGACACCCTGTACGTAAGATGAAAAAAATGAAAGAAAATTATCGATGACAATATGATTCATACCAGCAATGATCATCATGCAGATGGTGAAGATCTTCTCGTTGTCGGTCTCGGCCGCGACGTTCCCGAAACCCACCGAGGTCATACAGGTCATCGTGAAGTAAAGGGCGGTGACGTACATCGTGCGACGCGACGGGCCGGCCACCAGTTCGGGCGCGGTGCTGGCATTGGTCCACAAGTAGCTGTACGGTGACTGGGTAACATTGGCCAGCTTCCACAACCACGAATACTGCACCCGTTGTCGGCGTCCGATCTCCCTATCGAGTACCTTGAACGCAACGAGGGATCTCGTTACGAGGCCGCGGACGGGATTCGGCGGACGGGAGAGAGATTGATATGAGATCGCGCGAGATAATGCACTATGCATTTTGGATGCGGAGCCTCGCATGCTATTTCCTTCAGGAAATTCCGTTATTCGCGTCGGGTGAAACATGATCGATTTTTGTGCGTCAAACGGTTCCAAAGCATTCTCGATTATTTCATTTCAACCGGCGAATTTTTATATATTATATATTAGTCAATTGTTAATATCATTGCAATCCTTTTCGTTTCTGCCTCCGTCTCTTCCCAAGCAGCAAACGTCATTAAATGTCAAAACGTAAGTTTGTTTGTTACCTGGGTTTTTTTTTACTTTATATTTTATATCTTAAATAAGTATAAATTTCCAGCATATCTAAATATAGTAGTATAACGTTGACATGCTTTGTACATATTTTAAATTATCTCGGTATAATAAATTAAGAAGCAATTCAAAGGTCAGCGTTCATTTTGAGTCTCGCGTTTCATACTTTATTATATTTTAAATAAGTAATTCTAAATCATTTCCAGCATGTATAAATATAACATATACCAAAACGTTTGCATGCTTGATATGTGATTAAAATCCTCTTGGCGGCAATATTTAGTAAAATATTTAGTAAGAAACGATATAAAGGTCGTTTAAAGGTCAACGCTCATTTTTCGCGATAATGTAAGAGGCAAACAGATATGGGGAATTTTTATTAGTCAATTGTTAAATGTCATTGCACAATTCTCCATTTCTTCGTCTCTTCTCTCATATTTTCACGTTTTATATTTTTTATATATTTGAAATAAGTATAAATAATTTTCAGCAGATAAATAAATCCCGTGTGGGGTTGTCAGTCCCCATCGGGCGCCTCCTCAGGTGGCGGATTGAGGAATAATACTACAAGGCGCCAAGAATATAATGATATACACTTTAAAATAATTGCTAACAATGAAATTAAAATAAATACGACAGTGACAATTTTCGACGATACTATTCAACTAGTCAAAACTGTTAAATCACAGGAGAACCATAATCTGCACGATATAGATTGCCACACATATCAATGCAAGCAATCTAAACCTTATAAAATCATGATAAGAGGTCTACATTCCTCGACTAATATTACAGAAATTAAAGAGGAATTAGCTAAAGCATGACACGAGGCTTTTCGCATATCAAATGTTATTAAAAAGAAAATCATCAAAGAATAATATCATGTTAAAACAAAGAAACATCATGTTAAAAAGAAGCAGAGCAAATTCGTCTCAAAACCCGTCAAATGTACTGGCTATTCGACGAGTCAAAACTAGACCTAAATAATAAAAGATTGCTCTATACAATGGTTATCAGACCAATCTAGATGTATGCGATTTAGCTTTGGGGATGTACCAAGGATTCAAACCGCATGACAATCTAGCGTTCACCGAACAACATAATACGTTTAATTATCAACGCAATGATGATCTACACACCCTAACAGTACACGTATCCGAAGACGTTCGAGGAGCATCCTGAGAATATCCTGAGGATGTTCGGATGTTCTCTGGATGTCCTCTGGATGTCTTCGGTTGTGCTGTTAGGGCAGGGACTTGGAAATACTGACTGTCAATGATATAAAATACTCTGCAACGGCTCACGAAGCCAGACTACGTAAACATATATCAACGTGGAAGCAACGTGGAATTGCTAAAAACTGAACACGATTTTCCAGGGAGAAATGATGGTCGAATCGATGTCGATCATTTCTCGCTGGGTTAAGACTGAAACGCGACAAATCACAGGATTTAATTTAATAATTCTGTTAATGTGCTGAGTAGAAGTTTGGTAATGACTGAGCTTCTAACCACGTCACGAACCTTTATTAATTGTATTACTTATTTTAACCGTAGTTTAAGATCGTAATAAACATCATTAAATAAAAAAAATATTAATAAATAAAAATATATAACATGTAGCATAACGTTTACATGCTTGATATGTGACTGAAAGTTCTCTTAGCAACGATATTTAATAAATTAAGAAGAGATGCAAAGATCAATGCTCATTTCCCGCGATAATATAAGAGGGAGGCAGACATATGGAGAATTTAGAGACCAGAAAAATTACAGATAAAAATACGACATAATGAAAAACGAGAAATATCTATATGAGAGATCAGAGTTCGCATGCATTGATCTCATGACGATATGTTTGGCTGCATGTATGTGTGTAATGTTGTAATGTTGCGAACAATGCCGTTGTTTACGCAGCGTACTCGTGTCCCGAGGAGACATGCGTATTACCTTGAATACGTGTACGCAGGGTAAAATCACCTTAATGTGACATACCAGATACAGGCCAGCCAGTGAGCAACCAACATGTAGAAACAGAGCAGAAGTATGAGCATCGCGGCACCGTACTCCAGATAACGATCTAGTTTTCGTACGACCCTGCCGAGTCGCAGCAACCGTACCACCTTCAGGGCCGAGAACAGGCTACCTATCCCGTCCTCGTCGTGGTCAAAGGCGTTAAACACATCGTATGGTAGACAGCTTAGCAGATCTATGATGAACCAAGATTTCAGATAGTTCATTCTGATTACCTGAAAGTAGTCAAATCGTCGCGTTATTAGAGAACAAAATTAATTCATTATTTTTAATACTTTTAATGTTATCGCTGATTTAAAGATTTCATTTTGTGAAGTTAGCACCCCCCAAAATTCATTAATGATTTTTTTGACTTAATTCGCCAGAATTTTTAAAATTAATAAGGAACTCTAGAACTCTTCGGGGTGCACTCTCAGAACTTTAAAAAAAATTAATTTTTTGAAAGATGAAGTGCCAACTTTACAGAGACGAACAAAAATATTGTTGCAATATGAATGACAAATGCAGCTTTATTTTTTGTTCCATGGAGAAAATTCTTTACAAGAAAAAGCTGAAGCTCACCTTCGGATCAGACACCACTTCGCCGCCAGCACCGACAAATGTTGTGTGAAAATTTAGCACTATGTCGATAAAGAATATTACGTCGACGATACTGTCGACCACCAACAGGGAAACGTCCTCGCTGGTTTTGTTTTTAAATGCGACGTTGTACGGTACCATGATGGCTGTGTAAAAGGTCAGACATAAAATGATCCAGTCCCAGATCGCTTTAAATGCACAGTAATGCAGTAGGATGTGTGGTGGTGTTTTCGGTGCTTCTTGTCTGTATTGCGGCATAACATCGCCGCTTAAAGACATCATCTGAAAAAAGAAACACGATATTAGACAACAAATTTTTCCTTACGAAGAATGATTATTAACATAAATCGCTCAAATAAGCAATTTAGGTTTAATATATAATTTAATATATGTTATTTAATATAATATTTAATATATAAATATATAACTTCTATATAATTTAATACATAAATATATATATATATATATATATATATATCTCGCGATTTATTTTATTTATTTATATATTTAATTCACATGTATAATTTGTTTATTTAAAGATATTTTAAAACCTTTTCATAAATTGCTTTTATATTGAAAAATATACGAGATTATTATCGAAAGAATAAACAATAATCTTCCACATCGATTTCTTTTCCATCATGTCTCATTTATCTGATATCTTTTCTAACATCAAGCTCCATTAGCCGTTCACGCTCCAAAGAGCTTTCGAATGTATAAGCTTTCCGTGTTGATTTTGAAGAAAGATTCATGCAAATGTGTTCTCGGTGCTTTCCATTTCCTGACGAAGTGGGGCAATATTGAAAATACATTTCTATTTCAACTCATCTTCTAGATGAGACTTCGTAAATCGATCATAGCTACCATCTATTATACTAACTGTTTTCAAATAATCCAACTAAATTCTCAGCCAGAGATATGAAAAGATATCAAGATAGATATATATTTTAAAATAAGAGAAAATTATATTTAAAACATATGTATATTTTTTAAATATTTATGTGTATATGCATATATTATATATTTATATTATATTAAAAGTATATACATAACATATACCAATATAAAATAACTTAATACATAAAATTATATAACGTATAAAATGTAAAATATAAAATATAATATAAAAATATAAATGATAATAATATAATAATATAAAAATAATATAAAATTATAATATAAAAATACAATAAAACAAAATTATATAACATAAGGATATGGAGTCTAAAATTTGAATAAAATAAATTATCGCTTTAATTGCTAAAACAAATTAAAAAATATTGTAGAACTATAGAATTCATCAAAAACTATAAAATTCATTGGAATAAACTCGAAAAATGACATAATATGCTAATTTTCAGCCAAGTTAGCATATCATTCTAAATTTAAACAATAGAATTTTATAGTTTTCAACTATTTCTATAGTTCTCTAGCATAGTTCTTTTTAATTAAAATTTACAGAAAAAAATATTGATTTTCTATTTTATAATATAAGTAGGGGTGATAAAATCTAAAATTAATATATTTTTAGTTAATTTTTACATTAAAACTATGTTCATTTTACACAAAATTTATTTCAAATTATTTGACGTTTTGCATTTATGTTATGTTAAAATATTAACACAATATTTATGTCTCCATGTAACATATCTATATTATGTTAAATTAACACCAAAATTTCTGTGGACCGTTTGGGACATGTGATATCTGTTAAATTTAACACACTTTTTCAACTGTGTATTATATTAATAAAAATTGGTGATAAAATTTATTGAAAAAAATGAAATATGGCGACTTACATGACCCAGATGCGATTGTTTGGTGGTGGTAGGCACAGCTGTGTCCTTCAAAGCTGGCACATGCGAGCTGAATTGAGAGACGAGGACCGATCTCGATCTGGTGACCGATCTGGCGAGTTTGGCAAACTTGGAGAGGCCGCCTTTGCTGTCGTCGGTTTCGATCGGCTGCTTCAGGGCGGTGATGTCTCGAAACGTCAGCAGGAACAGGACCACGAGGTCTCGTTCGTTTTTTATGGGCGCTATTTGCAGCAGCAGCCATAATGGTGTCTCTGTACAGTGTAAAAAAAGAAAACGACACCGGTACTGTCTGCTCGCATAAAGATGGTAAAGAGAGAGAATGTGAAAATCTACTTTTCAAGTCGCATATATATACTTTCAAGCACGAATCGATCGCAGGAAGATTATCTCAGAGTTCCTCTTTTTGCGAAGAGAGAATCAGCGAGTCAGCTGATTGTCAAATTCGGCTGGAAATCTTTCTGCTGCCGTAATAATCTAGATAGATCTGTCATGCTACGTGTACTGGAAGCTATAGTTTGTAATATATTGTGTTCTAGTATATATATATAATACAATAAGAAAAGCGTTTCTCAAATGGGAAATATTAGGAAATGCTGATACATGAAAATTGATCGCAATACTGTTGTTCATGTATCTTTTCTGAAGATAAGAACTGCCGATAAAACGCAAGATAATATAGCAACGAGAGAATCCTTAATCCGCGATTAATATTTTTTGACAGAAATCAGCTGATAACTGTCAAAAATATTAATCGAGAGTTTAAAGTATTTAAACATATTATTTTATTTAATTTTATTTTAGACAAACTGTCAAACTGCTAACAAGAAACTGTGCACAATAAATAACAGATTTTTCCTAAGAAAATATAAAAAAAATTTAGTTCTCGAAAAAATCACGGTTCTTCCTGCAATATCACGAATAAAAGAGTCGAAGTAGAAAGTCCTCTCTTGAGTGACAGCAGTTAAATTATATCCGATCATGCATTATTGCGTTTGCTTCGAGCAAAAGTCAAAAGGCAAGTCAATCGAATGCTGGCTACTGTTCTCCAACATTCAATTTCTAAGCTGTCACTTGAGTTGTCACCTCATAATACAGAATGTTTCAACCAACGAGCGACAAGTCGCCAAATTATCGTCGCACTTGTCCACAATGTCGCATGTCGGGCATGCAAGATCGAAGCTGTATATATGTATCTATATGCGAGCGATGGAATCCAATTAGGGATTCGCCCACGATGCTGCTTCGCAAAGCATGCGAACATGCGGAATGAAATGGCAACGATAATGAGGAAAATTCGAAGTGCGAAAGGAAAGAGAGAAGAGAGTAGCGCATATAACACGTCGAGAGGGTATACAAAGCTAATGCAATAGAGAGGGAAAGGGTGTATTAATAAAGAGATAGATCTCGCGAAAGATACCTCGGAGAGAGACTTTTACGTGACGTCAGAAAATTGAGATAGAGAGTAGATAGAAAAGTGAATTTCCTGAATGGGACACGATATCTTTGAGTCTTCTTCTCGCATCTTTCTCTCTCGAGACAGCATTTCACCTGATGATACTTCAACCGGTTGTCCTATATCGTGGATTAATGAAAGAGAAAGATAGAGAGAGAGAGAGAGACAGAGACAGAGAGAGAGAGAGAGAGAGGGAGGGAGTAGGAAATTCGTGAAATTTCGAACCCGAGGGACGAACACACATATATAAACGCTTGATAATATTTTATATGTATGTTCGCGCCACCCTCCTTCTCTCCCCAACAACTGGCTTAATTAAGCAACCATGTAAGCCCGTCGAACGACGATAGTGTACGAAGCTATGTATGAAAAGCGTCGACAATATGTACATACATTCGCCGACCGGAAATACGGGCGCGACCCTGTTCTCAAGGGGTGGCAAAAAGAGTGGGTCATCGCTGTGAGAGCGTAGCTATGACTTCAAAAACCAGTGTGAATTTCAAAGCAAAGCGAAAGAGGCTTATTCAGAATTAATCTCTCGCGGGATAATTGTGATACTAGAAAAAAACAGAGAAAGAGAAAGGAGAAAAACTTGACACTGAAATATTCAACGATGAAGCCATAGTATTAAATAAAAAATGTCAAATTTGTTAGAAACAACACAAGAGCACGCGCTATTCCTCGATTTTATAATATAAAGTAAAATATTATTATTTATAATATATGTTGTAAATAATATAATATGTTGTAATACTTTTATCCGCGATTAATATTTTTTGACAGAAATCAGCTGATAACTGTCAAAAATATTAATCGAGAGTTTAAAGTATTATAATATATTATTTTATTTAATTTTACTTTGAACAAATTGTCAAACTGCTAACAAGGGACTATGCACAATAAAAAAAAAGAAGAGAGAATAGGGAGCAGTTCAATATAAAATGTATGAAATATAATTTAGTAACGCAAAATAGAACAACAGAGGAATAGTGTTAAAGTAAAGTGATGAAATTTCTCTATTCTACGTTACTACATTACATTTCATATGTTTTATATTTAACTGTTCCCTGTTTCCTGTTCCTGTTTTCTGTTCTTTATTTCCTGTTTCTTTTTCCTTTTATTATGCGCAGCCCTTAAACTTGTATATTTTAATAGTAACATAGAAATAATCACCGAAAAGTTTTAATCATGTTCATGAATATCTAAATGTACATAAATTTAAAAAATGAGAATTTTATACTTTTATTTGCTTAGCATATATTTTTTAATATTTCAAAGAAACTTATGTAATCCATTGTTCTAATGAAAAAGTTGACATATAAATTTCTTAATTTTTCTTTAATACAAAGAATATATAAAGAATACAAAGAATATATGTCGTCCCAGCGAGGCCAACTGTCAAATTAGAAGTTATCAGTTTTTCGCGATTAATCGATCTTTTCCATGATCGATTAATCGATCGTGTACGAGTGCTTCGCATATTTTGATCAGGAAAAAAATATTTTCCTCTTGCTTCGGAACAGTTTTTCTTTAATCAGGACAAAAGAAAAAATATTTCTTTCTCTTGATTGGTCGATCAAAATATTATTCGAACGCACTTGACACTTGTCGCGTCGAGTAGGGCGCTCTATGTTAATCGATCGTTTCAATGATCGATTAATCGCGAAAGCCTGATCATTTCTAATTTGACAGGTGGCCTCGCTGCGGCGACTTGCCGCGTATTTTCCGACAGTTGGCATCACTGCGCCGACATCCCGCGTAAATTTCGCGCATCGCGTCGTGCGGATCGTAGCTGCGCATAATTATAATTGTAATTAAGGTTCTCTCAAACATGCGTCGCTTATAATTGACGCAAGCGCATAAAATAGACGTGTACGATTAAAAGCGGGAGTGCCGAGGGATGAAAATAAGTACGTACGATTAATGTCTCGGGAGTTCTGCACAAAAGTATCGCGCGAGTAAACTCGAAAGTGCCGTTTAGGGTCACGTATGATTAATGTCGGGAGTGTTCTTCAAATTGTCGTGCGATTATTTTATTTTGCTCATTAATGCGCGCGCGTAATCGTATTTTCGCGAGTGTGTACTGTGTAAGTGTCAAAAAGACACTATATATAAGTACAAAAGAGGAAGAGGAGGCCTGAGAAGGCATCGAGCAAATCATGTGGTGAGCAGATTATAATTAAAACGAATTTATATAAATTAATATTATATATAAATGTATAAATAAATTATATAAATATATATATAAATTATATATATTTTATATATAAATATAGAAATATATATATATATGTATATATATATATATATATATAGTATAAAATTTTACATATGTATAATTTTAATTGCGCATTACTGACTTTTTCAAATATTAATTATTTTAAAAACTATTTTGTACACATAAAATTTAATTTGTGTTTTTTATGTTATAGATTAACGCTCTGTATTATAGAATTCCACTGTTGCACATCGTATCAGTGAGTGTATTGCATGTATACATATTTAATATTATCTGTATGTGTAGATTAATCATATCAAAAATTAACTGGAGCACAATTTAGGAAAGAGTTAAGGAATTATACATATTAACTTTATATAAAAAATTTAAGAAAATGTTTTTTCATTAAAACAATGAATTATATAATTTAATAATTTAAAAAAAAATTTTTTTTAAATATGCCAAACAATTAAAAATATTCAAAATTCTCGTTTTTTCTATTCATGTACATTTAAATATTTATAAACGTGATTAAAATTTTGTCGCAATTATTTCTGTGTTTTATATTGAAATATACAAATTTAGAGGCTGCGCACAATAAAAGGAATAAGAAACAGGAATAAAGAAAAAGGAATAGAGGAAAGAAAACGGGAAGTAGGCGGAACAGTTCAATATAAAATATATGAAATGTAATTTAATAACACAGAATAGAAAAGTTTCAACACTTCACTATTCTTAGCACTATTCCTCGGTTATTCTATTCTGCGTTATTAAATTCTATTTCATGTTTTATATTGAACTGTTTCCTATTCCCTCTATTCTTATTTTCTATTCTTTATCCTCAGTTCGTTATTTCTTCAACTAAACATGCCTTTTTAGAATAGGATAATAAATTTAAGCTTAATATTAAATTACATATAATTTCACGTAAGTATCTATTAAAAAGGTTACGCATAATATATTTATTTCTGTATAATTGTGATACTGGAAAGAAACAGAGAGAGAGAAAATTTGGCTGAATTTTATAATTTAACATTAAAAAAATGTTAAATTCATTATAAACTTAATTTTATGGCAATAAAGCCATATTAAAACACACGAAATATAAGAAGATAAAATTTATAATAAATTTTTGAGCTTTCAGTATTAAATGAAAAAATTTTAGATCAATATTCTTTCATTATTAAAGAAATTACGCGTAATATATATATTTCTGATATGACGTCACGTTAAAAGCGCGATGGCTTTATCAATTACATCGTTGGAATATATCACAGTTATTGCCGTCATACCGCAGGGTATCCAAATTATCTCAATTACCCCGATATTAAACCTTACGCGGAATATCCCAATTCATACGCTTGAATGTAAATGGCGTAATTATATAACGCAGCGTGCGTGTATGCTATTACGCAGAGTGTATTACGAATTACTGGCAACAAACAGAGTTACAAATGAAAGCAGAGTACGTATTATAATATAGAGAGTGCGAATATATACAGTATTGTCAGGAGAAGAATAGCAGGTTATACGAGAAATTAAGTTTCGCTAATAATAATCGGTTCGTTCAATCGACCGAAATGTTTCGCTAATGAACGTTAATACGTAGTGCTAATATGTCAAGTTGAATAATTGGAATTTGCATACAATCGAGACGGGGAAGAAGAGTAATGAAAGATCTGGTTGAAATAGCAAATTTGTCAAACTTGGCCTCTAAATTTCAAGAGTTTTTAGTGCATACATATGTATATATTGTATAATATAATATAATATAATATAATATAATATATATAGCGATACTAGAGGATTTAAAAAATATGTAAATTAATTTACATCGTGCGCGCTAGAGATGCTTTATGTGACAAATTTTCATTTTAATGGGATGAAAAACGAGGCAAATGAGAACGAAAATTGCTCCGACAATATACTATTGTGTGTGTTATTTGTATACGTTATATGCATACATATATAGGGTGTCCCACTTTAAATAATGCATTAATATTTTATGAAAACCGATTTCCACCGAAAACATGTTTCTTATAAAAGTTGTTGGATTTTGAGGGGAATGTTTTGTCGTAAATACAGTCTTATTTTAAGTTTTTGAGATTATTTGTTTAAACGGAACCACTTTAATTTTCTTTCAAAAATTGATTCTTAATATTTGGCGTTGAAAATTTATTACAATAAAATAGTCAGAAAATGATATAGTTTACAAAAAAATTTTATTTCATTCTGATACATTTTGGCAAAAAATATGAAATATGTATTAATTTTATATAAGCTTACTTTAATAATTTTTTAAATAATGAGAATAAATAAATTGGCATAAAAAACATATAATTATTTAAAAAAGAATACAGTTGCACATTGCAAATTTTTTTTTAAATCAGAAGAGTAAATTTTTCTTTTATATCACGAGATTCATTTTTTTCCAAATATGTACTTACCATAAAAGCATAAAATCATAAACCATTCAATTCTCAACTATTCGAGTCTAAAAACTTTTCACGCCGAACATTCCGAAAAATCAATTTACGTAAGAAAATTAAAATAATTCCTTAAAAAAATAACAAATACTCTATATTTAAAACGAGACACCCTGTATATAATACATTGTCGTGTGTATGTTGGCGAGGATAAAGCTTGAGTATATAAAAATAAAATGTGTCGAAAATGAAGAGCTTCCGTTTCTCCCGCGTATGATGCGGTGCGTAATTGAGTCTCCTTTAACAAAGCTCCGTTTCGTTTTCCTCGCGAGTTAATCAACCTTGCGGGTCGATGATCTCTCTTCACGCAAGGGTTGTGAATCTTCCATCTCTCCCCGGAGAGAGAGAAAAAGAGACAGAGAGAAACGGAGCTGCTGCAGTCATCTCTTTCGACGATAAGGGCCGTTGGCCGGAGAGTTTTGTCGGGTAAAAAAAAAAAGGTGCTTCGACTCGCCCCTTTTTTCAGGGACGAAAATAACGTCCGTGATCTATTTTTTACGGTCGTCGCCGAGCTATATAATCTTTTTATCCATTCTGGCTCCCGGTTGGCAGAGAATCAATTATTTCAGGGAAAAATGACGGCAGTTGTTCTCCAAAATAAGTATGAATTTTATATGAAGAGAATATTTTTAACGAAAAAGAAAAGAAAGGAGGAGAGATTGGGAAAGATAAATCTCGTCGGTGTTGATGTATACAAAAGCGAGAAGAGGGTCAAACTACGACGATGATATAATCAGCTGTTTTTTCTTTCTTTTTTTTTAAAAGAGAGATTGTCGGAAATCGATCTAGAATTAATCAAGAGTAATTAATTCAAATTTAAAACTATTTTATAAAGCTTTCAAGTTCTAATCTTAATTTAAGCGCATTATACATATATCGTTCGAAGTAGTATATATGTATATTATATATATCCGTGTCTTTTTTGCATAGATCTTAGATTCGTGGGTGACTTACTGGTGGCATTTGCGAGCTGTGCTAGACATACCTCGTGGGCTACCTTTAAACAGAAGGATCTCTTTCATTATTACGCTTAACACGTCACGTATCGAGAGAAGGGGTAGGAAAGGGTGTTTTTTTTTCTCCACCGAGAAAAGGCGATCGGAAATGATCGAATTTCCTTCGAACCGCGAGGGACGGCACGCGAGTATCAGAATCGAGTGATATACAACATGATGGTGGAACAACCAACGAAACACGAAACTTACCGGTATATACGATATAGTATGCAGACACAGTTACACGGTTCGATATAGATGTTTCCATCAAATATTGCGCATGCATAATGATACATCTCGTGCCCCGAGGCGTTTCCCCGAAACGACGGCTTCACTATATTAAACGATCTCGCGCAGTTATACGAAACATTGCATCTAGCACATATTGTGTGCCTGTCCAACATGCTCTTCAATAAACTCAAGATTAATCATCTAAATACATAACATATATATGATAAATATATATTCAAAAAATTTATATATAAATGTACATATATTTTTTTTATAAACTTTTATATATTTTTATATGTATTATAGAATATAAATTATACACTGAAAAAAAATTATTGAATATTTATTTCAATATACTGTCCAATAAATCATTTATTCGAAAGAAATAAATATAAGAATTTTCTTATATCAAATACATATTTTACACATCAAATCAATATTATTAGATTCAAATAAATGGCAGTATTTATTAGTATTGAAATAAATATTTATTGAAATTCAATAAATGTTTTCGTACATAACATATATAATAAATATATTCAAAAAATGTATATATATATTTTTATATACTTATGTAGAATATAAATTATACACTAAAAAAAATTATTGAATATTTATTTCAATATATTGTCTAATCAATTATTTATTTAAAAGAAAGAAATATTTATCTGTTTTTCTTATATCGAGTACATATTTTTCACATCAAATCAATATTATTAGTTTCAAATAAACGGCAGTATTATATTAGGCAGTATTGAAATAAAGATTTATTTAAATTTAATAATTTTTTTCTCGTTGTCAGTGTATAAATATATAAAATACATGAATTATATAAATTAATAAAATATACAAGATGTTTCAGAACTGGCGGAAAAGTTTTTAATGACAAAGTTTTTCCTGGTATCATTTGGAGATGATTTTTCTTTAGTGAAAATGTTGAGGGAGGCCATCATTTTTAGCATGTTCCCAATTTTTGTTATTATGTATTCTTGCAACTAATTGTAAGTCTTATATTAAAATTTTATTTAAAGCAAACTCTACCTAAAATTAACTGAAGAATATGTATAATTCTGTTAATATTTTATTTCTGCAAGGCCTAGTTTCTAAAAAAGCCTTCGTCTCCGAATGATACCATCAAGAATCTGCTATTAAAAACTTTTCCGTTAGTTCTGGGACACTCTGTACAAATTATAGAATTTAATAAAATATATATATATATATATATAATATATATAAAAAATATATAAATATGTAAAAAATATATGTATATAAATTCATATAAAAATACACGTGTAAAATCTTTCCTGTATAATTAATCTTGGCTATATGATCCTTGGAAAACATGTGTATGTACATCCATAACATTGCGAAAAAAGCATCGCGAAAAATAATATATATAAATTTTCACGATAAACATTATATTCACTATCTATGCGCATATAAAATTGTTAATAGCACATCGAGAAACATCAAACATTTATAAGGAACAGCATTCAAGGAAACGCAGCTTTTTTATATCGCAAGATATACTCTATTATATTTCTTAAATCGATTTTATATTAAATCCAATTATGTAAGATCGAAATGAGGAAAGCAAATTTCCGAAAATTATCCCAAGAAATAACGCGGGAAATCATTTCCTCCCCTGTGTTTATCGCTGTTAGAAAAATGCGGGTTGATTATACATACATATATCCTAATTCCATCGTCAAAGTATCGGTTTCATCGCGGTAAAAGCGGTCGCGCGTTTTGTCCCCCTATTAAATGCATACACGAGCCGCGGTATATGATTGCTGTATTACTTCCAACTGCGTTTCCGCGCGGTGCATAAAGTGCACGACAGCGCAATAGGAAGCTAGATGCCGTTCCGATAAACACGCGCATGCAAATTCCGCGCGTAATAACTCCGCCCCCTTTCTCTACCAGCCCCCTGACAACCGAGATTCCAAGTTTTTGCCCCCTTTCCGACAACCCGCCGCCTTTTTTTGCACGCTCATCCAATTACCGGGCGTGATAAACGCGTGGAGGAAAAACGAAGTTGTCAACGCGCGCGCGCCGCAGGTTAGTTAGTTCGTCGTGAATTTTTCGCCCAAATCGAAAATTACACGCCGCGACATATAATCACACCCCGACGATAACGACTCATTCCAGGAACGAGTTACTTCATACCTGCGATTATTCATATACCGTGTAATATCCGGCGCAAAAATGGCGATTTAATCCCGCTGTCGCGTCGATGCAAATCATTTTTCCGTTTTTTCTTTCAACGTATGTTGAACTGCGACAATTTTTTGTAACAGCTGTTTGAGCATCGAGCACTCTTCCCCGTTGTTTAGATTTTTTTCGAGTACAAAGACCCTCGTATTTTTGTTTTGGACGGAACAAAATACTGCCACATTTTTTTTGACATTTTTTAAGTTTCTTTGGATAGCTGGGTACTCGTTCATTGATAGAAGGGTTAATTCGTTAGAGCGAAACGATTTTTTATTTTCGAATGCTTTAGGAAGATCCAAAGCGTGCTGAAAAATTTTCTATTTAGTAATTTCTGAACAGTTTTTTTTTTTTTTGTAAATTGCACGTCGCGAAACCGTCGATTCTCGCGAAAAAGAGCCTCACACATTTAAGCTTCTCTGCATGCGGGTATAAACATTAAGCGTGATGGCGACTTACTGGTCTTCTTGTACAGTAGAATCTCGAACTGATCGTGAATCTGGCCCTCGAGACACTCCTCGATCCTGGCGATCGTTTCTTTGTCCGTCAGCTCCCCGTACATGAATCCGCAGCGGCATGACTTTTGCATAACCTGGGGACACAGTTGTTCGATAAAGCCTCCGTTCTAATTTATTCACCTTTGTGGAATGTCACATAGGCCTATACACATGTACATTATAAAATTACTAGTCGCGATTATAAAATAAATATAACATAAATATAAGATAAATATGATTACTATATATAATATAATTAAATAATAAAATATAATTAATTATAATATATATATATATGATATAATTAATTACAAAATATATATATATATGTAATATAATTAATTATAAAATATATATATAATATAATTAATTATACAATATATACATATAGGAAGAAAAGAGACGAAGAGCAGATGATAAATGTGCGCGATGACCAGAAGGTGGTGGAAGATCGATTAATCCGTTTCATAATTAGAACGATCTGCCTATTATTAATATGCACTCTGCGCTCGTTATGTATTAATCAAGAACGTAAATTATACAACTGAATGGCACAAAATTTCTAACTTTAAGCGTTAATCGGAGAAATCGCGTACTATATTTTAGAGATCGGTATTATAATAACTGACTTATAAGGGAACCTCGAAAATTCTAATCTTGATAAAATTTCACACATATTTAGGAGAGATAAATAGATGAATTTAGAAATTTTCAGTTGCGGTTCAAAAATGATTCGAAAAGGTGAAATTCCTCATATGTAAAGTGGTTTTTTGCTTTTCTAGATATATCTCGAAAAATACTCGAGATATAAAAAAATGTTTCATACAAATGTTTCATAAAAGCACCTCTATTTAATCAACATTAATTAAATTGTGCAAAAACAATTTTTGAGAAAAAATTTTCAAAATTTGATTTTTCAAAATTTTATTAATATGATTAAATAGATTAATAGATTTTTACTATAAAACTTTTATATAAACTACAAATGTTTTATAAAAGCATTCTGTTTAATTAACATTAAGAGTTTAACTAGGCTCTGTAATATAAATATAAATTTAACATATATAAGATAGGCAATAAGAGCCAAATCGCGGATGACAGTGCGTTATCCTAAACGAAACTAAATTTTTTCGTTAGAATTAAATACCTGTGCACAAGGCACCAAATTTTACTTGGACACGGCCAAGATATAAAATTGGAATAATCTCTACAAGAGATTTTTAATTCCATGTATCCCCTATTCCCCCTAAAGAAATAAATACGAGAGAAAAATATAGATCCGAAAGTCGCAGAATCGTTTCCCGATTCTGGTTAAAATTCATGGAATTAAAAATCTCTTGTAGAGATTATTCCAATTTTATATCTTGGCCGTGTCCAAGTAAAATTTGGTGCCTTGTGCACAGGTATTTAATTCTAACGAAAAAATGTAGTTTCGTTTAGGATAACGCACTGTCAACCGCGATTTGGCTCTTATTGCCTATCTTATATATGTTAAATTTATATTTAATTAACATTATTCAAATTTTGCAAAAACAATTTTTGAGAAAAAATTTTTTTTAAATCTTGTTAGAATTCTTTTTTCAAAATTGTATTAATGTTTTCTTTATTAAATAGGTATTTTTACCCTAACAGGGTGTCCAGCAGACTCAATGAAAAAAATTTCCTGACTTTTTCAGATTTTCCAAGACTAGTAATTAATTTTTTCCCTGACTTTTTAATATTATTTTTTCCAAATATATAATTTGTATGATAAATAAATTAAATATTAAATCACTTTTTTTATTTCTATTATATCAAATTTTATTTTTAATATATTTTAACAAATTACATTTCATGTATTTTAATATATTCAATGGTATCTAATATCACAACAAAACTTTTAAATAAAACATTTTTAATCAAATTAATGTATTAATTTTTAATACAAAAAGGAATTAAAATAAAGTTTTTGAACAATATATTATAATTTCTGAGCAATGTTATGATATATTTTGAAATATATAATACATTGACATAAAATAATACGACGATGAAAATGTAAATGAACGAATACGCTGTAGATGAATCGATTTTTAACTCAGAAAATTAGCATACTAGAAGTCATATTATCCCTGCGTATATTTTTTTTTTTTCAAATTGCCGCGATAATATACAAATTTATGTATATTCGGGAGTAATTTATTTTAACGTTACGATGCGTATAATGCTTACGGGACTTAAACGACGTAAACAGAAGCCATTTGTGAAATAAAGTGCTTCCTTAAAATAGCGATCTCGCGGATCGATAACGTCGATAAAGGTCGACCCGATTTGCGTTATCAAATGCCGACGAGAGCGAGAAATGGTCGCGCGTTTCGTGCGGGATATCGAGCATATATACCTACATATAGGTGATATACCACCTCGTGTTTTTCGACCTCGAAACAGATTTATTAATCCCGTAGCGCTGACCTTTAAATTCCGCGAGAGCGCAACAGGAACGAAATCACTTCGCGAGCCTAGTTGAATTAAAAAATCGCGCCGTGATTTTTTTTTAAATTGGTATCTCGCGAAAATAACGAAAGGGGCAACATCTGTTGGATATGTAAAAATTAAAAAAAAATTATCTTAGTTAAAAAAAAGCTGCTCCTGTATTTTATTCTCGCTTCGTCGAACTGCGACTAAACAGATTTATTCAAATATCTGATGGCATTGAAATGCACTCGCGTCTCTTCAACATCTGCAGCATCTGCAGAAGTCAATGCCACGGTTATATTTCTATGATGCTGATGCACTAAAATGTTAACTGCGTCCTTTTTTCACATTTGTGTATGTATGCAAAAAAAGAAACGCCACTTTGAAACGGAAAAGCGCAAACGTAATTTTGCTGACCGATGCGAAAACAGGCGTAAAAGACTCTCAAAGAAAACTCGAGAATTTTAGCAGTAGTAACATTTTTAAAACGTAGAAATTCGACCTACTGTATGATTACATTAAGGGGATGCGGCCGTAGTTCTGTTTTACCGACTTTAAGTTAGGTTAGATTCACTTTTTATTGAATATACAGACTGAAAAATCCTCTACAATAAAAGTACTGAAAATAATGAATGGCAACTAATTCTTTCACGTCATCTCTATTGGGAGCGCCATATTTTGTGCACAAATAAACTGCAGAACTTTTGTATTAAATAACTATTGTTATGAGCTGATGCAAGAGGCGGATAAAAAAAATTAATTTTTTAACTTTTATTATTTTTTATACGAAATTATTACAGCGCTCCCCGTTCATTATTATAAATAATACTTTATTGTGGAGAAGAATTTTTCAATCTGTATAGCCAATAAAAAGAAAAGCCCCTGAACTCAAAGTCGGTAAAACAAACATGGTCAGCATCCGCTTAAGTCGATTATGTCTTTTGAGACTGCTGAAGGCAATATAATAGAATTAACGTTGTTTTTTTCCTTAACAATATCGGTCTCTATGTAAAAATAATTCAAGCAAACAAAACGATTGAAAGGTCACAAGTGTATAATAGTTTTTATTTCAGGTGCGAACAAAAAATTGGTTATTTTTCGAAGGAGATTCTGCGAAAATCTCTGTGTAAACGAAAATCTATCGAATCGCAATCCCTTTTCGCGTCCCAAGAATAATTTTTTCCATTCGAATATATTTTCTATTTTTTTCTATTTTTATATGCTTTGTATTTTATGACATTCAATCTTTGTTAAAAAATATTAAACAGTAAGACGACATAAAATAAACATTTATTTTAATATATTTGTATTTATATTAAAATAAATATAAATATATATATATATATATTAATTTTTATATTTGTCATTTTATATTTCTTTTTTTTTATATTTGTATTTATATAAATATTAAAAAAAATATAAGTATAATATTATTAAATATAAATATTAAAATAAATATAAATATTTGTCGGAAAGAGAAAATCGAACGAGTGAAAAAAATGCGCGATATTTTATTCCGTCGTCGCTTCTGTTCTTTACCAAGCAAACCTTCCACGGAAGCATCAAGCCAGCTTCCAGTAATAGAGTTTGTAAATCCTAAATCCATGTGTCTTTTCGAACAATAGGATTTGGAACATTACGGAAGTGTCTTACAAAAGCCGGAGTGTCTTACAAAAGTTACCGCTTTTCTATTGCTTGCGATGCTAAGTCGAGACGCTAAAGTTGAAAACCGAGTAATCCGAGGTGTGTTCTCGATATAAGTAATGCACGAGAAGCAATTTTTCAAGTTTTCATTATAGTAAATGCACATCGCCATGAATATATATTCAAATGGATCTTTCAAAAGCGACAAATACAATGGCCGTGCATGCACAATGTTCAAAGTATATAGGTGTACAACATGAAGAAGGAGACCGAGTTGGAATATTTAAGATAGTAAATAATAAAGATGTTTCACTTGAAGCACAATTTTATCTATACACTGAAAAAATGACTAAATTAATACATATTTAGTAAATTAATACATATTTAGATTTAACATTTAATTGATTTATCATATAGATATATGCAAATTAGGTATATATTTGGAAAAAATAATACTAAAAAGTCAGGGAAAAGTTAATTTCTGGTCATGGAAAATCTGCAAAAGTCGGAATTTTTTTCATTGAGTCTGCTGGACACCCTGTTAATTTTTTTAGCGATTCCAAATCACTGTTAAAAATTGCACACTGAAAAAAAAAATTAGTTAAATTAACAAGTATTTAGTTCAGTACTGTCAAATAAATCATTTATTTGATAACAAATAATAATTTATTTGTTTTGAAAAGAATTTTCTTATATCAAATAAATATTTTTCATATGAAATAAATATTATTAGTTTTAAATAAGTAATTTATTTGACATTATTGAGATAAATACTTATAAGAATTAACTAATTTTTTTTTCAGTGCAGCTTTTGAAAAACTCAATCTTATATTCCGAAAATATAAATATTCTGCTAAATATTCTAAAAAAAGGATCGATAATGTTGTGAGTTAATACCCTATTAATTTTTTAGCAATTCCAAATCAGCTGTTAAAAAATTGCACACTGAAAACAAATTTGTTAAATTAACAAATATTTAGTTCAATACTGTTAAAAATCATTTCTTTGAAACAAATAAATATTTCTTTGTTTTGAAAAGGATTTTCTTATATCAAATAAATATTTTTCATATGAAATAAATACTTATAAAAATTAACTAAATTTTTTCTCAGTGCAGCTTTGAAAAAATTCAATCTTATATTCCGAAAATATAAATATTCTGCTAAATATTCTAAAAAAAGGATCGATAGTGAATTATCGAATTCATCGAGTAGGTTACGGAGCCATCGGCTAGATAAGGCTAATTTGCCTTCGGTTGGCAGACTCGATATCGGGGGTTGGCCGATTCTATCTCCCGAATTCTCCGGCTTTCGCACCTTGTCAGCTGAAATTCTTATCCGCGACTATAAATCGATGTCGATGAATCAACCCTGAATAGGCGTTTAAATCCCGTTATCCATTCGCCCTCCCTCTTTTTCCCCCAAACTACCCCAACCACTTTCATTTTAAACCGCGAAGGATAACGACAAATGAACGAGTCGTTGCTCACCACCAGGTGGGTATCGAATATAGAATTCCATAATATATGTTATATACAACACAGACTATATTACATACGTGTATCGGTTCTTTAATCGCGGAAAATGTGCAACCTACAAAAATATGCAACGCGCACCTTGAGATAAAAAAAATTGTGCAGCGAAGGATGAAATCTTATGTGCAGTCGATTTTCAAATGCAGCTCGAAACTATCCGAGCCAGAGCTGGAAAAGGAATAATATACTTTTATGTTTATCCTCGATGTTGTATAAATAATGTATATACCTATATACATGGGCATCCGTGTAGGATTTATTTTTCTTTCTACATTTTTAAAATTTTATTTTTTTTTTATTTTTGTTTTTTATATTAAATATGCAAATAAATTCCAGTGTTTATTCGAAAGGAGAGTAAATGCTTAATTTTTTTACTGATTCAACGGCACTCTTGTATACATTGAACGAAACAATATAAATGTAATAACAATATTTTTAATATTTATACAGAGTGTCCGGTAACTAACGAACCAACGATTACAAATGGATTCTTTGGTCAATTTGGGAACGATTTTTCCTCAACGAAAATGTCGAAAAAGGTCATCATTTTTTACAATTTTCCAATATTTATCATTATGTATCTTTATAACTAAGCCTCAAATTAAAATTTTATTATAGTAAACTCTACCTGAAATTAACTGAAGAATGTAATTATGTTAGACTTTTAACTCCAAAACGTTTAGTTTTCAAAAAACCCATATGATAAATTCATCCAAAAACAAAAATATGATAAATTAGTGAATGAGGAAATTAATTTTTTTTCTATAAATTTATTATAAAATTTAAATATAAATAAATTTTTATAAAAATATTTTAAAAAATTTAAATAATTTTTAATAATTTTATTAATATTTAAAATAATTATTTTAATGAAAATTATAATAGATAATTTTTTTCAATCGCTTATAACTCGAAAATTATTGACTTCTCAACATTTTTGCTAAGAAAAAATCGTCTCCAAATTGGCCAGAGAATCCGCCCTTAATTATTGGTCCGTTAGTTACCGGACACCCTGTATATAGAACGTGTAAATTGTTAAGATATGATATTTCTCTATATTTATGCATTTGATTTATCGACAAAACGCAAATCAATATTTGAATAATTCCCGAGTAATTGGCAAGTTTTATTGTAGCTGTAATAAATGAAATAACGAGTCGGATATATATTTGCGACACTTAATATGACACGTAACTAATTAATTAATTAATGTACATATAATATACGGTATAAAATAGAGATACTCATATGCATTTTGTACATGGATATGTGTGTGTCGTATAAATACAGGTCTGACACAAAGTGTCACACCGAAAATATACAAGTAGATCTCATTATTTGGAGATGATTTTTTTCAGCAAAAATGTCGAGGGAAGCCATCATTTTTTGCATGTTCCCAATTTTTGCCATCATGTATCTTTATAATTAAACCTTAAATTAAAATTTTATTAAAGTAAACTCTACTTGAAATTAATTGGAGAATGTAATTTTTTATTAAATAAATGTAAACTTTTCTTTGACTCCCAGCACGCTAATTTTCTGTTGTCAAAAATCGATTCATCTATATAGCATATTCGTTAATTTATATTTTTATCGTCGCGTTATTTTATTTCAATATATTATATATTTCAAAATATATTATAACATTGCTCGAGAATTATAATATTGTTCAAGAACTTTATTTCTAATCATTTTTTTTATTGAAAATTAATACATTAATTTTATTTAAAAGTTTTGTTGTAATATTAAATTGAATATATTAAAATATATGTATTATAATTTGTTAAAATATATTAAAAATAAAATTTGATATAATATAAATAAAAAAATTTTTTCTCAAAAATCGTTTTTGCAAAATTTGATTAATGTTGATTAAACAGAAATGCTTTTATGAAACATTTGTATTTATACAAGAGTTTTATAGTAAAAATATCTATATTAATCATATTAATAAAATTTTGAAAAAATAATTCAAAGATTTAACATTTAATTGATTTATCATATAGATATATGCAAATTAGGTATATACTTGGAAAAAATAATACTAAAAAGTTAAGGAAAAAATTATTTCTGGTCTTGGAAAATCTGAAAAAGTCCAGGGAATTTTTTTCATTGAGTCTGCTGGGCACCCTGTTATTAGTTTGCAAAAACCCTTCATTTTCAATCGCTTATAACTCGAAAATGATTGATGCTTCAATATTTTTGCCGAGGAAACATTGTCTCCAAATAACAAGACCTACTTGTATATTTTCGGTGTAACACTTTATGCCAGACATTCTGTATAGCTCTGCGAAAGTGTCTTCGTGATAAAGTCGGCGTGAGATTTTTGAACGAGAACTCGAGAGAAATCGAGCGTGTCTGTTGTATTAAATAAGGTACTCGTACCTCGGCACGGTTGTAGCCGGAGATCTTGACGAAGCTCTCGTTGCAATAGACGATCGGGAAGTCGACGATCTGGGCGTTTGCCAGTAAAAAGCTGCTGTCGGCTGTGAACAGAAAACAGAACGAGGTATTATTCTCCCTTGCATAATGAAACAGTAGCGAAAATATGCATTTCTCTCTTTCTCTTGCATCGTCAGCGCCTTTTGTTCACAATTTCTGTTCTACTCTTCTCGGAAAATGACGTCCCTTTCATATTCTAATCTTCTAAAACTGCAACATTTTTTATGTATTTTTTTATATTCTATATAGTTTTATTTTTCATAGAGTTGGGTAAGTTAATGATTTTTTAAAACTAAGTTAAGTTAAAGTTAGTTGCTTATAAAATTAATTTAGTTAAGTTAACAGTTTTATAAAGAAAACATTAACTCAGTTAAAGTTAAGTTAAGATTAAATTAACTGAAGTTAAATCAAAAGTTAATTTTTAAAAATATTATTTATATTAAATTAGAATTTTGTTTGTTAATTCTTTTAAAATAACAAATAACATAACAATAATTTAACTTAGGAAAAAAGTTAATAAGTTTAAGGTCAAAAATAACTAGTTGAAGTTAAAAATTAATACATTTTACATTAACTAAGCTAAGTTAAAAGTTATTAATTTTTTAACTTTTAACTAATTAACTAGTTCCCTGGTAGCAGACTAACGTCATTAAACGTCAAAATGACGTCATTAAACGTCATTCGACGTTAAAATAACGTCATTTTGACGTTTAACAATTGATAAATAAATTGATATATCAAAAGTATACAAAATATATATAAAATCGGGGTTGGATAATAATTATTATAAATAATTAATATATTTCGTATACTTTGATATATTAATTTATTTATCAATTGTTATAAATACGACCGCATGTTTCTTAATATGGAGCAGCGGGAGCGATGTTTATTTATTTATTTATTTAACGTTACGCGAACAAATTGTAAATCATTGCTCGATGGACGATATGTAATCAAGAAAAAGCGTCTTCGCTATATAAATCATAATTACGCAACAAATACGCGTGTATATAATAATAAACAAAATAAATGTAAAAGCTACGTATATGTATATATATATATTACATATAGGAAACGACGGAGTAGTGATAATCGATGCCTCCCTCGTATAAATCTATGTTACTCGGCTAATGGGTGTCCCGGAAGTTTTTCAACGTGCGCGAGAGAGAGTTCATTTAGAGTTTCCCGATAAATTACGAGCGAGGGAATTAAACACAGAGGAGCGACACAGAGAGCTCGCTCGGATGCTTATAAACGCGTATATAGTTTCGCGAAAGTCGAACAAAAAGGGTGTAAGACGAGCGCCACGCTTTACCGTAGTTATCCAATTAGTCGCCGAATTTAATTAGCGCAATTTTCAACAAGCGCCGATTTGCCGAAGCAAGAGTCTCGAATCCTATCATCATCCTATATTTTCCGGAATTCTCCTCTACTCCAGTAAAATTAGACTTGAAAAGAACAAAACTTCGTCAAAATTAGGATCAAGCTGAATTTTTGTGGAGACCTTTATTTCAATGTTTTAATGAAATCCTATGGAGAAGTACCCTTAATTTCATCCAGAACGTTTTTTATGGGAGGTAAATTTTAGTTTTTTGTTTTTTTGCCATTATCTCGAAAACTATCAATTTTTCGAGAAAAATAGTTATTACCAAAATTATAGCTCATAAAATTCTCTACAAAAAAGGTGTGTATATTTTTTTCGTACAACTAATCGTTTTTGAGTAAAACGGTAAAGTTGCAATGTCTATAGTTCGTAAAAAATATAAGATAGAATACTGGGCGCATTTTTTCGCTCTACATCTTCGAAACAGTTAATTCCACGAAAAAAATGTAACAACCTTTTTATAGGGAATTTTATGAGCTACAATTTTGATAATAACTATTTTTCTCGAAAAATTGATAGTTTTCGAGATAATGGCAAAAAACTAAACCCCCTATAAAAAAGCGCTCTGGATGAAATTAAGGGTACTTTTCAGGATTTCGTTAGAATATCGAAATAAAGGTCTCCACAAAATTTCAGCTTGATCCTAATTTTGATGAAGTCAAAGTCTAATTTTATTGGACTACGTCGAGAGAAAAGAGATCCCTCATTTTGTCCCGCGCGAAAGACACGATTGTTGATGTCGGTGATTGAAATGATTGATCATCCTCCAAACATAAATTATAACAGCTCGTTAAAGTGGCCCGACACGTAACGATCCTCTTTACATTACCATATATAACAATCATGATTATTATTATTAGTATTATTATCCTGCGCGATAAACGCTATCGCGATTCACACGAAATGATCGGCACGCAAAATCCGCGGGTCACCAGATATATCGGGTTGGTTCATAAATATAAGATTTGTTTTACAACATAAGAAACTGAATTTTATATTTAAAATTAAAATTACTTACCATAAATTTTAATTTTAATCTGTTATATACACTGAAAAAAATTATTAAATTAATGATTATTTTTCACATTAAATCAATATTATTAGTTTCAAATGAATGATTTAGGTAGTATTGAAATAAATATTTATTCAAATTCAATAAATTTTTTTTCAGTACTCCATTATTAAATATGCAACTTTGTTCTTATTTAATTTGTTAATTATTTTCTCAAAAATGTGATGAAAAAAATATTTTTACAAATTCTCCGAGTATATCGTTACAAAATTTTTTTTCCATTTAATAAATTTTGGAGCGATTTAAACAGAGAGAAATCCGATGTGGCAAAGTCTGGAGAATAAGTAGAATGAAACAGAACTGATCACAAAAGTTTCAGAATTTTTGCCATAATGTGATCGGACACCCTGTATAATATTAAATAAATTAATATACTTTTAAATTCATTACATCGATTTCTCGCTCGCAAACAACGATTTTGAGACGGAATTGATTCATAAAATTTCAAAGCGTCTCTCCATCATAATATCGCGAAGAATTCGCGGGAAATTCCCGAGACGCGGGAAGGATGCGCGATCGTTATTCCGTCGACTTCGTTTGCACACAGGCGTTTCTTAAATCGTAAACGAAGACGACGTCTCCAAGGATTCATGCTGCGTTCATCCTTCACACGCTTGTTCGCTAACGATTGTCGACGTTGTCGCGATTTCGCGACAAACAACGACAGTCGGACACCAGCGAAAACTTCATTTTTATAACGCGACATTTTTGTATTTATTTATTTATTTATGTTATACTTATTTTTGATTTTATATTATTTATTTATTTTACTAATTCATTTATTTTATTTATATTTATTTTATATTTATTAATTTATTTTATAGCTAGATTTGGTAGATAATTATTGTCCAGTTTTTTATGTCATACAACATTGATGTAAAGATTTATTTGATGTAAAATAAAATAAATTAATATTTATATTAATTTAATTTTTTTTCAGTGTTTATATAACACTGTTTATGTAACAGATTAAAATTAAAATTTTATGGTAAGTAATTTTAATTTTAAATATAAAATTCAGTTTCTTATGTTGTAAAATTATATTTATCCTACATATATGACATAAAAAACTGGATAAGAATAATTATCTACAAAGTCTAGCTAAAAATAAATTAATAAATATAAAATAAATATAAATAAAATAAATAAATAAGTAAAATAAATAAACATAAAATCAAAAATAAGTATGAAATAAATAAAGTAAGCTTTTTATAGAAAAACAGAATGAATTTTATCAGCTCTAAAACTGCAAGACGACTCGAACTAGCTACTGACAATGAGAAAATATGTCGTCGGGACTTTAACGCGAGCGATTAAACAAACAAAAAAGGAAAAAGATGTCTCTCGTTGATTTTTAATGAACATCGCATGCCGTGTGTCTCGGCGAAATAGCCCGGTTAAGTAATATGAATCCGTATCCAGGAGTGCCGTGGCCGTATTTCTGTCCGCCGTTCCCATTCTTTCTCGAGTTCTAACACAGAAAGAGAGAGAGAGATAGCCTCGGATGCACTCCTCCGAGCGTATGATCTCTGAAGTGGATCCTGTTGCATTCAACGCGTTGTGAAATAGTATACACATACATGCACGATGCTCTCTATACAGGGTGTCCCAAAATTATCGGACGCTCTGTTAATAGGGCGATTCCAAAGATTATTTCGAGACATTTTTTACTCGGCAAAAATGTCCAGGAATGTCATCATTTTTTGCATGTTCTCCATTTCTTGCCATCATTAAATTAAAATTCTATTAAAGTAAACTCTACCTGAAATTAATCGGAGAAGGTGATTTTATTAATATTTTATTTCCACAACGCTTAAGGGGTTCCTAATTAATATTAATATTTATTAATGTTTATATTAATATTTGATTTCCACAAGGCTTAAGGGGTTCCGAAGCTGACCTAAGTTTCAGTCCTGTTTTATCGACAAAATGTGAGGTAAGATTCAGCTATAAATCCATTTATTGGCCGTACGGATTGCTTTTTATCCAAAATTAGAAAGCTTCGTTCTTTGTTAATATTAATACTTTAATTTGTACATATAAGGAAAAAGATTTATCAATCTGTATAATCTCATATATCTTGGTTACAGAATTATGAATTCTAAGGATTTATAATTTTGTAACCAAGATATATGAAACTATTCAGATTAATAACCTTTTTCCTGTACAAATTAAAGTATTAATATTAACAAAGGGCGAAGCGTTCTAATTTTAGGTAAAAAACAATCCGTATGGCCAATAAATAGATTTTGTATTACACGTGCAGGCAAAGTGGCACTTTGTGTGCGTGTTTTCTGTGCGGAAAGCGGCCGATTTCCCACGCCGCCATCTAGCGGCGACGCGGTGAATGAATAAGCCGCGTTCAAAGCCATTGTCTACGGCTGAAAAGGCAATGCTTTGTTTAGCCGTGAACAATGACTTTGAACATGGCTATTCCTGCACCGTGCCGCCGCAAGATGGCGGCGTGCGATCGGCCACCTCGCGCACAGAAAACGCGCACAAAGCCACTTTGCCTGCACTTGTAATACAAAATAGTATGTGTATCATGTGCGGATTGACAATTGTTCACTCGTGTGAGGTGGTCG